GGAACTTGGCATCTCATAATCCAGAAAGTTTTTACATTGTATGCTACCAGCAGGAAATAGTTTATGAGTTCCAACACTGGAAGCTGTAACTTCTTTATTGTTTTTGCAAAAATGATAACAGAAATTATATATTATTGTTTAAATTTTAATTTATTTGGTTATTAGTGAAGTAGAATATAATTTTTTGTGTTTGGGAGGATGTACTTTTTTAAATCAATAGTCCATTTAAGGTAAATTTTTTTCACATTTTCAACAAATTAAGATACTCTTTTCCTAATAAATTATGTGAGTTTTTTAAAATGAACTAAGGATATTAATCCTTTATTAATTATGTTTGATGTAGCTATCCATGGTACGTCTTTTGCCTTTTACTTCTGTTTATGGTATTTTTAGCATGCCAAAGTTATCTAATAGATTATGAACATGTGCTAATTTATTGAAACGTCTCTAAATATGGAACCAATATTTCATCTGAGTTTGAGATTAAGAGAAGAAATTATCACAGGTAATATGGAAGACAAGTCACTTCTCCAATTGCAGTCTTTAAATTGTAGTGTAGTGTAGTGTCTTGATGGTCATGACCTCCTAAAATTAGGTCCAGGAGAGAGAGAATGAGAAATGGGAATTGCTAACAGAAAAAGACCATTTCAGAATCATGGACTAAGGGTTACTCTCCAAGAGAACTATAACCCTTGGGCCACTCATTCTAGAGAGCAGCTTCATTTTTGCAAAAGTGAATATTGTGGTATATAGATTAAAGTATTATTTTTTTTCTGTGCTACACACTTACAGGAGAAAATTCTTAATATCCAAGACAAAAGCAGTGCCTTGCTGATGAATAAAGAGACATGTGTATCAAAAATATAGCTGACAAAAGGCTGGGCATAATGGCTCATACCTATATATATTTTTAAAAGAATGTAACTGACAATGCTGACAATGTAGGAGCCTCTTACACGTCCCTTTGATGCCACAGTTTCCTCTGCCTACTCTGCTTTTTGTAGATAAAATTATATTTACAAACTTTTCTCTTCCTGACAATTATAAATTCTTCTCTTTCCCTTCCTTGGATTGAAGAAAGTTGAATGAACTTATCTACACAAACTACTCTTAAAATGGATCTTTATCCTCTTTCCTGTCCATGGGCAATTACTGTGATTCTTCTTTAGCAGCTACTGTTTCTTCAGCCCTTCCACTAGGATAGGGCTGCTTTACATACAGTGTGCTGAGTCAAATAAGAACAGAAGGAAGTAGTCACAAAAAGAGGAAACAGTGGTTAGTGGGTTCTTGAGAAAGTTCTCCAAAGGTTACAAACTGAAAATATTAAAAAAATTAGCAGGTTTATGCTAATCTCTGCTTTCTCCTTTTTGGCAGCTCCACGCAGGAGAAAAAATAATCTGTGACTTCTGTGCCTTCTTCATGATCTCCAAGCAAGGCTGGGTTTTTGACCAGTGCACAGGAGACTCATCAATATCTATCTAAGCCCCTTCTTTTTAACGGCGGCAAGAGTGTGGTCTTCTATCATCTCGGGCCAAGAAAGTGCAATAGTTACATTTATCTCCACTCCAGTCACCTGCTTTCCATTTTGTATGAGCAGGTCCTGCCCTAAAAAGTAAACATGTCTGCTGAGAAATGCCAATGAGAGAGGGAGAAGAGATCTTCAAAGGGAAGGGCAGATTTTGTAAGTGGTTGCTGGTAGACCGAAGTCTGTGCTATAAATCTTCTTAGGGTGCAGTAGTTGATTTAACTCCATTGAGATGGACCCTAAAAACAAATATGAACATAAGGAATTTTACAGATAAACCCATGTTCCATGTCTAGAATAGAGCAATATCATTATGATCATTATCTGTTTTCAATATCCAACACTGCCAATTAGTTTCAGCTTCAGTTTCACCAGATCCTTCAAATTTTCTTCATACAATCTCTTTTTGTCCTTCAGTACCTGATGGAAAGAAAGACCTCCAATGCTAACATGGAAAAGAGAAGAGCCTTGCTCTCCAAGCAGGTTTAAATCTACTGAGAGTGGAAATTGCTCTTTTATTTATAAATACTGAAAGGACCCTTTTGGTAGCAGGAAACCTGGACCGATTATGCAACCTTAAGTAAAAATGGGAATTTATTGTAAAGGAAAATGGATAGCTGTTAGAATGCTAAGCAGGAAGGTCATAAACAAATTGGAATCAGAAAGTGGGAGATTGTTGGAATCCTTGGGAATACCTTGACCCTGCAATCAGACAGACTTCTCTACCTGCCATCTGTGTCCTCGGACAAAGTGCTCAACTTCCCTACGCATCAGTTTCCTCATCTGTAAAACAAGAACAATACTTACCTTTAAAGATTTTTGTGAGGATTGAATGAGTTAACACAGGTAAACAGCTTGAACCTATGTCTAAAATTTACTAATCATTCAAATACTAGTTACTGTTGCTAGTTGTTTTATACTATTTGCCCACATATGTTGATTTCTATTTTGTTTCTTTTAAGGAATTTGCCACTCTCTGAAATTGTCTTACTTACCTAATTGCTTATTTGTAAAGCACGGGATTTCTCCTCTAGTGTTTAAGGTTTATCACACCCTCAGTAGAGGGAAGGCAGTCAGTGTTCTGCCATGTGTCCCTTTTGCTGGAGCAGAGAACTTTCAGCCTGTTTCTGACTCAGTCCTCTGAGTACCTCTGCTCTGAAAGCTGTAACTCTCTCTCATTCCCAGGGCTCTTTCTATCTCCATAGCTAAAAGCCAGATTTCCTAGCCCATGGAAGGGAGCCCATTGATTCAGCTCAACTGTAAGGCAGAATCGATCAAGATTCATTTAGTTTCAAGCCAGACTGAGTAGATGACCAGTACTACTGATACTACTTGAAGTTCTGCCCCCTTTGAGGAATTTCCTTCATCACTTTCTTTCAAGAACAATACTAATTGCGGTTACAATGATACAACAGTCCACTTCCAGTTTTGCTAACATATTAGACAAAATCATCCGTGAAACAAGCCCTGGTTTTCCTTCTGTAGTTATCTAGTTAAAAGGAATTCCACAAGAAGCTATAGATGTGAACTGCAGGAGAGGAGGGAATACAGTAAAAGTTGGTGCCTTAGCAGTCTAAGCCACCTGCTCATAGAACTTACTTTTGCCTGGTTAAACTCAGTCATATATACATCATACACACACACACACACACACACACACACACACACACACACATTATATATACATGCATATATCTTTTTAAGGATGGATTGCTGTTGTATGTGTATAATCTTGTGGCTAGATAAAACCCCACTCATGATAAGCAGTTCAGATTGCATGGTCATTTGATGTCCTATGTTATGTATTAAGTTTTTAGTAAGGTCTAGGCAAACTAGATGCTATCTCCTAAAAGAATATTTATCTCCATAAGAGAGTATAACTTTTCTCTCAAATCCTAGAATCCTGTGCTTTAATTTTCCTTTTCTGGCTTAGAAGCACCATACAACATCCATATTTGCTACAGTCATTTCAGGCTTGATTGGATCTAGCGCATCACAAGTCTCAAGTGGTCAAACAGCTTTCAAAGCAATCTGGAATGATTGCAAAGTTTTCTCTTGCCCTGAGCCTCACTCAAAACCAATAGTGTTATGGGCTCCTCAGCAAATGGGTAAGAGTGATGCACTTAAATGAGGATATATTGCATCCAAATTCCAAAGATATCCACCAGGTATTGTGCCTCTTTAGTAATAAGAAGGTGCAAGATGCCACAATCTGCTTTAACTTTTAAGACATTCTGACACGTGAATAACAGCATAATCTAACTTACAGGGGTTTCATGAGAAGAAAATGAATTACTTAGCCCAACATATGACATTAAGTCAGTGCTTAATAAGTATGAGCTATGATGATGATGATGACAATTATGTTTAGTATTACTACTATACTTGAAATTTATGCAAGGCTGCATAGAGAAGGCCTTTTCAGATTTCCGAAAACTTCCCTTCTTCACCTTCCAGCTACAACATACTGCAATCAGCAGAGTCAAAAAAGATAGAAATAACATCTGAGGTAGAGGTAATTGTATCTATAACTCTTTATAAAGTGGATATGAAATTCAAGAAGCCAGTTATATCTGTGCAAACAGTTGTTACATGCTGAATCATTTTACATGTAGCAATATGTTCCAGTAAAACCTTAGACTGCTTTATGTTTTTTAACAAAAATATGACAGGAAGTGTCTTCACTCCATGGTGACTGTATGTGTTTGTGTGAACTTGTAGTGGGGGAGGGGCATGGAGAAGGGCCCCGGGAACAGCGACCTCCACCTCCAAGAAGATAAACAGGCCTTTGGGATTGAAGAACTTAACCCTCCTTAATTCTAGAAGAGCTAGGTCTTTAGGAGCTTCTACGGGCTAAGCCCTCCCTAATAGACAACTAATATCTACTTTGGAAAAGAGAATAAATGTCTTGAATTCAGCACTCAAAGGAAGTGGTGGATGGACCTGGAATGAGAATGAGAGGACAAGAAAGAAAAAGATTTGGGTGAAGGAGGGAGGTAGTCATCTGCTCCTGAACAGTGTTCCTTAGCATCTCTCTGACACTTTCCAGGACCTGTGTATGTCACAGGAAGTCCCAGGGTCATTCAACCATAGAATCCACTACTGGGAAGACCATTTTGCATTCTTTACTGGTGGCTAAAGCAGGGATCCCCCCCAGAGATATTTCTTACCAAGGAAGCTGCCTGGACACCTGTATGGTATTATTGTCACTCAGAGCACTGTCCACACACTCACCTGTGGAACTGTCATGGAAAAAACTTGGGATACTTGTAAAATCTATGGAGCACTAAGGATCCACTGGGTGAAAAAGAGCTAGGCAGTATGTACTCTGGAAGTGGACTGGAGCAATTTAGTGCATGCCCATTTCGAGACAAATAGACATCTACTTTTCACTTATTTATGTATCATATGCTGGGCACTATTTGAAGCGCTTTTGTCTCTTAACTCATTTAATAGTGAGGAAGAAGTTGGGATTTTTGCTCAAGGTGAGAGCCAATAGCCTTTAGAGCATAGGAGTGTGTTTGCAGGGTATAGGCAAAATAGAATCTATAAGGAACCACATGATATATAGAAAGTGGCAGATAAGAAGTACTCTGTTGAAAGATGAGTTTTTAGATCCTAATAGAAATAGAGGACATGCTATTCTCTATAAAGTCTTTCTACCCTCATTAAACTAGAAATTACATGAAGACAAGGATCATGTCACCTCTGTTCAACACTGCACAACCAGTGAAACACAGTGAATACTCAATAGATAATTGTTAAATGAGTGAATGAAGTCACCTAGACACAGAAGCTAAGGAGACTTGAGCCTTTTTAATAGGATAGCATGTCTTAAAGTCCCTGGATAGCTTCTTGTCTAGTTCAACCATAAGGTCACCCTGTATTTAGGAAGACTTAAAAAAAAAGAAAGCAACTTCATTTCCTTAGGACCCACAGCAGAGGAAATGCCAATTAGCTAATAGCAGTATCCTTGGCTTCCCTTTTTCAAATTCTCCAAAATCTCCTAGGCAGTGCTCATGGGTGCCACTGTGGAGAGCATTTGTCCTCAGACCTGAATTGTATGGTCAATCTCCAGGATAAACTTCCTTTGGGTTTCCCAGAACAGGTCCCCATGTTGCTGTGGCCTTTGATGCTGGTTCTAGGTGAGTAGACACTATGAATTAGGACCTGGATGGGGGCAGGGGCTGAGCACTAAGCTCAGATGCTCATAAAAGCTTCTGTTGTGCTCTGCCCTAAGGCAGTCTCTAGGCTTAGAGGGAACTGGGCAAGCTTTTTTGGAATATAAGCCCCTGGCCTCCTAAATAAGAATTTAGGAGCACATCAAAACAAAAATGGTGATAATAGAAATGCTAATATTTATTGAGTGCTCGCTAGTAATTTATATGTGTTAATTCATTTTAATCTTTACACTAAATACTGCCACATAGGATTTGTATCAGAATTGAAGACTATATGGACATTCACTTTTATTATATTTAAAAAACACATCAAAATGCTGAATAAAAGAAATCATATGGGTTGGGCAGAGTGGCTCATGCCTGTAATCCTAGCACTTTGGAAGGCTGAGGTGGGCAGATCGCTTGAGCCCAAGAGTTTGAGACCAGCTTAGGCAGCATGGTGAAACCCCACCTCTACAAAAACAATTGGCTGGGTGTGGTGTTGTGTACCTGTAGTCCCAGCTACTTGGGAAGCTGAGGTGGCAGGATCACCTAAGCCTGGGAGGCTGAGGCTGCAGTGAGCTACAGTGAGGCTGAGGCTGCAGTGAGCACTCCAGTCTGGACAACAGACTGAGACTCTGTCTCTCAAAATAAAAACAAAAAAAAAAACAAACAGGAAAAGAAATCATATGGTGACAACGGGTGTCAAAAGTATTGACATAAGTATTAAAAATCAATATCCATTCCAAAAAGAAGTATTCTTAAGCCACAAGAATACTTACTTAACATGATAAAGAATATGTGTTCTAGATTGACAGGCAATATTACACATTAAAAACAGGACTAAAATTGCCATTCAAATTGAAGCTAGAACCAAGATGACTACAATCATCACAATTTGCAATAGTTTTTAAATCCTGGCCAACACACTAAATTAGTAGCAAAAATAGGCAGCAGACAAATAGGAAGCCAAGATTTTAAAAAGTATTATTTATTCTTTATTCATTTCCACAGCATTTATTTGTCACCAGCTTGTTTGCTATTATTGCTATGTGCTATACAGCCCGTGCTCTTGATCATATCATCTATGTGGTATAGTTAGAAATGTATGAATATTCATAAATTGGGAAGATTCAACATAAGTATCCAAAATTATGAAATCCAGGAATATTATGAATTACCACTTGGAGATTATAATGAAGAAATCATCTAAAATAGCAATAAAAGTGAAAACATGAGAATAGAGTTTTTTTAACCTAGAAAAGGAGATATATAAAATTGTACAAAGGAATCTTCAATGAATAAGGACATATCATCAGTCTGGATAGGAGTACTAAAGTAGAGATATTATAAAAAGATCAGTTCTCCCCAAGTGGATTTGTAGATGCTGTGTAATTTCAAACTACCTGTGGAATTTTCCATGAAACTCACTAAAATGTTCAAAAATATACCTAGAAAAATATATACCTCGGTAAGAATGCCAAAGGATAGATTCTTTTCTAAAAAAACAGAAATGTTGGAAATCTAATTTATACATTAAAAAATAGATTTCATGTAAACATAGGTCAATGGAAAATAATAGAAACCCATAAATGTATCTAATTACATGTTACCTAATATATAAAAATAGGCATTATAAAACAATAGATATTTTCAATTTGCTATAAATTTAAAAATAAAGTCTAGATAATTATAATTATATTTTTAATTATTAAAAACTAATGGAAAATAAAATTAAGGCTGTTTTTTAATATGGATTCCTAAACACTGAAGCAGTAGAGATTTTAAACCTAAAAGTTAAAAACTTAGGTATTATAATAACACAACTTTAATAGAAACTAATGCTGTATTAGGATATTTGTAGCAAGTAAGCCAAATAATTGAGATATGATAGAAGGAATTCATGTTCATTGGCCAGAAAAAGCTTGAAAATATGATTGGGTAAATGAAAAAAGAGCAGAATTATAGAATACGCAAACACTCCCTGTAACTGCTGCTTACTGGCCTGCAGGCTTCGTAAAACCCATTGCTTATCCTCCAGACCTAGCAGAGTGCCCAGTAGTCAGTATTTGATACTGACGATACTGTCTTTCACCTTCCCAACCCCCAGTCTGCACAAGGGTCAGAAGCTGTTTTGTTGTAAGTAAGGAACATTCTGTCCCCAAATATTTACTTATATTTGTTCTGATCAATTTGAGACCCTGATACAAGGAATCATATGAAGAAAGTCCCATAACTACTCTATAGCATGTGTACTCTCTGGTTCCTTGGCCATCCCTGAGCAAGGGATAAGGCTTTTGCTAGCCTATCTAACATTAGGGTCTCTTTCTCAGACTTTCTCAAACAGAGAGCATAGCTTAATAAAAAGAGCATGATACTAAACTTTAGAGACAATGAGGTTTATCCTATCTTTGTAACATTCTGTCTCTGTGACGAGGGGCAAAATAATCTGAGACTAATTTAATTATTTAAAACTTAAACAAGATGATAACAAGCCCTTGAATCCAATGATTTCATGAAAAGAGTGTAGCCTGGAGTTTGGCGCCCAAGGGAGGTTTATAATTCATGTCCATTTCCTTTCCCTGCCTTCTAATCACTGTCCCTGCTTTGTATTGTCCCACTGAGGTGTGTCTACTGACAGACTGCTCCATTGAGTTCAGCTTCTAACCTTGTCAACCTCCTCCTTGAAACCTTTCCATGACTCCTTATAGCTTTTATAATAAAATTACAGCCACTTACTGGGGCCCTGCATTCCTCTCTGATCTTATTTTCCGCAACACTCCCAATTCCTGAGCACCTATGTTTTTTCTCCATCTCTGTGCCCTTTGTGTCTTGATTACCCTCCCCACCACCTCTAGCCACACACAAAAGCTAACATCCACCTGCAGATTCACTCACAGTTATGTTCTCACTCACAGTTTTCCAAAGTATCATCTCCTTCAGATACCTTCCAGGATCCATCCACCCTCTTCAACACATATACACACAAACACACACTCTACACTCTACAAACGCACATAGATCCTACACACTGGACTAGGTGACCCTTCTGCCCCCAAGATACCCCATGTGTATTTCTGTTATTGCACTTACACCCTGTGTTACAATTATATTACTTTACATCGTGTTTCTGTTTTTCCACCAGTCAACTTCTTGATGGCGGATACCATTTTTAAAGTCCAAGCACCATGCCTTAGTATATATGAACATTTGATGGATAATTATTAGATTTTTTAAAAATGAATTTTTTAATGGGAGAAGTAATATATGCATGAGGAAAAAAAGGGAATTATCTTCTTAAAGCCAAATAATCTTGGCTCTGTGCTCATCTCTGGCTCTTATATTTTGCAGCTCCTGTCAACGGACAGCTTGGTGAGTTCTCCTGTCTTTGGATCTTCAGTGTCTCTAGATAAGAGTGTCTTTTCCTAATGAATAGAAAACATTTGTAACAGTTGCCTGAGATCTCTAATATCTCCTGTTTTCTTGCTGAGGTCAGCAGGGATTTCAAAATGATGCTTGGTTTTTTGGCATCATCAAGGGCCAGGATAGTGCCTGGTCACCCTCCGACACTCCCTGGGTGAAGTGGTGAATGCACAAGCAGCTCCTGGCCTTTGCTAGGCTCTGCATTTACTGTTATTGCCAACAAACCCCACTTAGCCAGGAAGGACATCTTCGACTCCATGGCAATTGTGCTGGGCTCAAGATAGGATCCTCTCCAATCAGCAAGCCAGAAAAATCCCTCTGAAAACATCCCACTGTGCTGATGTCAGCAGGAATGCTGCATTCTCTACAGCTTTGGAGTAAAATTCTCCAGGAAATGTGTGGGGAACAGAAAATCCTACAATTGGGCCCTTAAAAAAAAGAAAGGCACAGAAAGGGGAGATAGGGGAGAAGACAAGTCATCAGCATCCCATATTCAATTAGTTCTGGCTCTTACTGCCATTCCTTTGGCTCAGAGTGAATAATTGAGAATCTATGAATAGCAAGAACCCTCTACAACCCCTCTCCTTGTCCAAATCAGTGCCGCAGCTGTCACCTTGTCCTGCTCACCCCTGGATGTCAGTGAGTGACTTGTCCCTTCCTTGCTCTGCCACAATTATCTATGATGGGATTTTTCTGGGCATTTGAATCATCATCTACAAAATGAAGATGTTAAGTTGAGCTGCCAAGGTTTTTTTTAGTGACAAATCTTAAGATAATATGATATAGTCTCTCAGGGTAAGTGCAACATTGTGATTTTAAAAATCACCTTTGGAGGTTCTTGTGAGTGTATGAACATGATGAAATGGCAGTGCAGTGGTGGTTTTCTCTGGGACCCCCTTCCATGTAAGGCTACCTAACTGTGACGTTTGATGGTGAATCCTGCCAGTGTCACCCTCCTGAAATCATTTTGCTCATTGTCATCCCCTGGGCAATTTCTCCCCTGGGTGAGGTGAGGGCCAGGCTATGCAGCAGGAGGCCCTGAGGCTGGGCCTGCGGGCGCCTCTACCTTAGACTCCTTTTCTCTTTCCTCTTCAGTAAGGACACACAAGTCCGTTATTTCCCTCCAGCCTCCATGGACCACAGTCTTCCAAGGAGAGAGAGTGACTCTGACTTGCAAGGAATTTCACTTCTACTCACCACAGAAAACAAAATGGTTCCGTTTGTACCTTGGGAAAGAAATACCAAGAGAAACCCCAGCAAATACCCTCGAGGTTCAAGAATCTGGAGAGTACAGATGCCAGGCCCGGGGCTCCTTGCTTAGTAGCCCTGTGCGCTTGGTCTTCTCTTCAGGTGAGAGAGAGTGAAAGACGCACCGACTTTAGAAACCAATTCAGCCCATGTTTCTCTCTAGCTGTTTTGACTTCATACCCTTCGTGAGTGGACAATTTTATTTCACACTGTGGTAAGGCAGGGAGAGAGTAAAAAGCTGGAATACAACCAGACAGGGAATGGGATTAGCTGCTTAATTTTAAACATTAAAATGAAGAAAATTTAAATTCTCTTTATAAAACTCATTCAGCCCAAGGGACAGTGACTTCAAGTGGTGTATCTAGGAGGACATACGTATCACAAATAACAACTAAAGGTTGCTTGGATGAACCATACAAACACTGCAGTTTCCATTGAGTGGATTAATGTCTCTAAACTCGTGGTTCTTAAAGTTCAATCTGAGTCACATATCTTGAGCAGCTTATTAATCATACAGATACTCAGGACCTACCCTGTGTTTACCGAGTAAAATAAGAGTAGGGCCCAGGAATTTGTAGTTTTCAAGCTGCTCTGGTAAAAGAATATTTGAGGAATAATTTATTTGAAGAATTCTTGAATCTATTTATAGTTTTAAGCCATATTATGTGTCTGGAATAATAAGTAGAAGGAATATTCTTTTCTATTTTGAGAAAGAAAAAGAGAGTTAGATGATATAGTATTTGAGAGAGAATGACAGCTAAAGGAAGAGACATTTCTTTTTTTGTCCTTAAAACCACCTGTTTTGAAATTGAAACCATAGCATCCTAAAGTCCTTTCATTTAGTGAAAAAAGAAGCAGTTTGGTAGCAAGAAACAAATAAAATGCTTACGCTTTTTGACTTAACAATCCCTCTTAAGAATTTGCCTACTGAAACAATCATAGATATACATCCTTGAAAATTGCAGACCCTAAATGGTCAAGAATAAGCCTCATTTAATAAATTACGTTACTGCCATTAAGGGAACATTTTGTGGCCACTGAAAATCAGGTTCAGGAATGATATTAATAACACAAGAAAGTGTTTGTAATATACGAATTGAAAAGCAAGTTATCAAATCTATAAATATAATTTCTATTCCATAAAAAATACACAGACTGTCAAGTAGTTGAAGAAGGAAGAGAAAATGGGAAAAACATATGCCAAAATGTGGCTGGTTTTTACCTTTCAACTTTCTGCTTTTGAACTTTTCTCAAGGCTCATGTGTTTAAACAGCAAAAAAAGAAATCATAATTACTGTAATAATCCTTTCTCCCAACACATTTCTTTGAAATACAGTCTACTTGGAAAAACAATGAAAGGAAAGGGGAACAGTGAGATGAACCAAATAACTGCGGTTGTGTTTCCCTTAGCTTCGCTGATCCTGCAAGCTCCAGTTTCCGTGTTTGAAGGAGACTCCGTGGTTCTAAGGTGCCGGGCAAAGGTGGAAATAACACTGAATACTATTTACAAGGATGATAATATCCTGGCATTTCTTAATAAAAGCTCTGACTTCCGGATTCATCATGCAAGTCTCAAGAACAATGGTGCATATCACTGTACAGGATTTAATAGAAGTAATTTCCCTGTTTCTTCCAACATAGTCAAAATCCAAGTCCAAGGTAAAGCCTTCATCATTTTGTAAAGTGAGTTGGTCAAAAGGAGACTCCCCAGGGTCACAGAGGTAGAACAGGAGGAAAAGGGTGGGCTGGAATACCATTAAATCACAGGGACATTCCTGCAAGGACCAGAGGAGGCACAGCAGTGCTTTGGACTGAAGGAAGCTAGGGGTTGATGACATCCCTTTCTTTGCTTGCTTTTTGGATGTGCTACTGCTTGAAGTGTGTTTTTCTCCAGAGCACATCTCAGCCTCATTGCTCTGGGACCGTTGTTGTGATTCTTCTCTTTAGAGCTGTTTTCACGTCCAGTGTTGAGAGCAAGCTCCTCCCAGCCCGTCAACGGGAGCCTAGTGACCCTGACCTGTGAGACCCAGCTCTCTCTAGAGAGGTCAGATGTCCAGCTCCAGTTCCGCTTCTTCAGAGATGGCCAGACCCTGGGATTAGGCTGGACCAACTCCTCGAAGTTCCAGATTACTGCCATGAGGAGTGAAGATTCAGGGTCCTTCTGGTGCGAGATAGATACCGCGGCTCACACCGTCAAAAAAGAAAGCCTGAGATCCCAAATTCGTGTACAGAGTAAGTTTTTGTAAGAATGGACATTGGAGCCAGAAGAAGGAAGGTAGAGTAGGGACATTGGTTACAACTTAGTTCCTTTTTTCCTCGAAGTGGTGAGCAGGGGTCTATCTTAGATTCTGGTGCTATCTTGAGGTCTTCTCTCTGCTAGTGCATTAGGAGTGGAATAATTATCAGTAGACTCCAAAAAGTCTCAAGACTTCTGGATCTTTGCTAAATCTCTCTAAATTTGCCCTTTCATGTTGCAAAATAATCAGATATTTATTGGGTGTCTGTAATTGTGCTATAGAAGCTGGGGAGGACACAGATGATCTTTGAAGCATTATCCCTAGAGGCAAGAAACAACTCACATTATAGGTGGAAAAGAAAGAGAGTACTCTTGAATATTCATTGAAATTTTCTTTGTGGACTACTAGCAGTAGTAGTGATAGTCAACATTTATAAATGTTCCATTTGTACCTGAAAATAAAATCCATCCTTTAATTATTGAGTGTTAGGTTTGCTCTTTATTAAATCAAATTAGAATTTTTCTCCTTATATATTTTTGTCTGTATTTTTCAATTACTGAGATTCCTATTAAGGTCTCCTACTATAAAAATAGATTTGTCTTTCTGTTCTTACAATTCTGTCAATTTTATGTTATATATTACAAGGGTATGTGATTGAAAGTATTGTTACACATTGCTAGTAGATGAAGAATTGTTATATGACCCATGCTATGGTCTAAATATATGTGTCCACCCCAAATTCATACATTGAAACCCAATGCATAAGATAATGGCATTAGGAGGTAGGGTCTTTGGGAGATGATTAGGTCATGCAGAGATCTCATGTCTGGGGCTAGTGCCCTTATACTAAAGAGCTAGTTCCCCTCTTCATCATGCGAGGATGTAGTGAGAAAGTGCCATCTATGAAACAGAAAGTAAGTCCTCACCAGACATTGCATCTGCTGATGCACTGACCTTAGACTTTCCAGCCTTCAACTGTGAAAAATAAATTACCGTTGTTTATAAGGCACCCAGTCTATGGTATTTTATTACTACAGCCCAAATGGACTCAGACAATCTCCTTTCTCCCTGTCTTGTCTCTTATAAACAGTAGCTGGATTTAGCTTTCTCTCAAATCTCTTCATTTCTAGTGTCTAATTGGTGAGGTTTCTCCCATTTAAGGTAATGTAACTGCTGATCTATATGGAATTATTTCCATCACCTTATTATTTCCTTCTATTTCTTGTGTTTAATCTAGTTTCTTCTTTCCTTCATTCAATCAAGTTTAAATCTTTATTCTACTTTTTCTCTACTTTTTTGGAATTTATACACTGTATTTCTAATCATGTAGAGATGTGACTCAAAATTTTTACATGTATATCTAACACAAAGCCTACGTAAATATATCTTTATATCTATTTCCTAAAAATTAAAGGGCTTTTGAGCACTTTCAAACTTTTCTTCTTCTTGTCTTATCCAATATTATTTTTCTATATTTCCACAACCACAATTATAAGTTACTTTTTATTTAAATCAGTGTCCGGATTTATTCCATTTGCCATTTTCTCTGCTCACTATTTCTTATCCCTTTTCAAATTTTCCTTCCAGTACCATCTTCCTTCTTCATGAAGTACTTCTTTAGTGCTTGTCTGATGGTGGCGTGCATTCTCCGTTCTAATTTGCCTGGGAATATCTTTATCCTTGTTGAATAATAGTTCCATTGAATAGATAATTCAATGATTAAATTAATAATTTAATTAATTATTAATAATCCTGCTGTGTTGTAATTTTCCTTTCATTCTTTTGTAGATAATCCATCTTTTCTACCTCTGTTTATTGTGAAATTTTATCTTTGTCTATAGTGTGTGGTAAATTTGTAGTACATTTATTTGGGTTGATAGCTCACCCAATCACAGACAACACCAGTGCCAAATGAAGATCTGAGTTAGACCAATTAATACATTTAAAAAACAGAAAATTAACAACATAATATTTATGATACAATCAATGCTTCCAAGAAAACAAAGTATATAAGAAATGATTAAAGACCTTTGGGGAAAGTGAGCAGCCCATGTCTACAGTAGGTGTCTGGGGCTAACTAAGCCTTCTGCTTCCACCACTGGGGATAGAGCAGGCCTGCCCCAGTGGTTCCTGAAGGCACCTGATCCCACTGTGGCCCTTAATGAGATGTTCTTAGTCAGTGGAGGTCCACTCCTGACAGGCACAGGCGCCCAAGATTATAACTCCCTGGATTTACTTTCCTATGTAATAAGTTTGAAATATTATCTGACTATATAGCTATATCTATACCATCAATACTTTTTTTATATTTGCTGATGTCTTTTATCTGTTTCTTTGCTTAAGATTTTTCCTTCTCATTTCCTCCTGCCTGTTGAAAATGTTTTGTTTTGTATTACAGGCTTGACTTTAGCTCTTTCTAGAGTTTAAGCATAGTTCTCTGAAGCTCCGTGGCAAATTTCTCTGTTAACTGTGGTTACCAGATTGTCACTTCTGGTTAGTGGCCTTTGCTAACTATCTATCAGAAGCTTGTGCATTTCCTAACATGTTGGTAATTTTTTTTACTGTTACCATATTTTCAGCAGTAATTGTTCTTTACAAGAGTCCAAACTGTGCCCTGAGCTGAGGAAGTCTCCTCATGGCTTTACCGTTTCGTCTGCTGGGGTCCTGTAGGTTTCATCTATTTTTAAGGTAGTTTCTAAGCTCAGAGTTCTAGCATGCAGTGACAGTTAATGTCCACACCAATTCACTGTGCAGGATTGGATTCCAATTCCTCACGGATACCATCTTTAAGACAGGACAGATGGCATTCCCCAGCCTGATTTCCCAAATGAGAAGACAGACTATATCCACCCCAACCCCTCATCTGGCTTTGTCAGCCTCACTACAAGCACAAGCACAGCCTAGGCTTCATCCTTATATAGGGATATTACAACATGGGCCTCTAAGGTCGGTTTCTGGTTCTGATAACTTCTTGGGTCTCCAGAACTTCAAATCCCACTCACCCACTTAGCATTGAGTTACATCTTGTTTCTGTACCTGGAGTTTTTCTGAACCTAAGCTATATAATTAAAACATTTTTGTTATGTTTTTATCAAGCACTATTGTGTGGTCAGAGTGTTAGGAGAGGCTTGCTCAATCAGTTCAAGTGCCTTCTTCTCTGGAAGTTTCCAAAGTATCTTTTCCTTTTCTGTAATTCTTGTTGCCCACAGATGTCCGACATTTGGGGTGCAGGCGGCTATTACTTCAGGCAGAGGTTAGAACCCTGCTGAGAATGCAGAACGCAGTGTTCGCCTTTTACTGCCAAAATAGGCAAGAACCAAATTGTATTGCTTGAAAAAAATAGATTTGTGTGTTCCAAATCAAAGACCGTAGATTCAGAGGATAGAGTTCTTCCAAGTCACAAACTAAAAAAAACGCCAGGTAAGATAATGTGAGTAATTTTCCAACATCTGTATGTAACATTCTGGAACTAAGTAAGCATTGAAGAAATGCCTAAAGTTGAAACTCTGATTACAGCTTAGAAGGGACTTGATATCACCATTTCCTAGGGCTCAACAGAAGGGGCTGTGAGGCAGAAGAGAGCAGAGCAGGCCAAGTGATAGGACCTCCAGATAGGTTGACTAGAAAAACAAAGGCAGAGGGATTAGGTCCCACTTACCTTTGAACAGGGGCGGGCAGGGCCTCCTCCCAGGGAGCCCTGTTGAGCAGAAATTGGGGCATAGTATGTTTCAGCAGAACAAGGGCATCTAGAAGTGCGACAAGCTCTCCTCAGCCTGTGCATCGATACTGGGAGATTCTGCAGTTCTCATGGGCCTCCATAGGGAAATGAATTACTGAGAGGAGTCATGGGCCAGAAGATGCCCGAGGTCAAAATAAGGAAGGTCAGAGTGTGTAGACCTCATTACGGAGGCTGTGGCAGGAACCACAGGTGTCAGTTACACCTGCCCACCCCAGCCCCAGACAAGCAGGACCAGTCCTATCAGCAACAGGTGTGGAGAGCGATACCCAAAGATCAGGAGAAAATTCCCTGCAAACATCTACAAAGGTGACAGAAGAGCCAGAAGATGGAACTCCTTTCCCAAATCCATGAGGGCAGACAGAGAGAAGCAGTAAAGAGGGTGGGCGTAGAAAAGATGGGAAAGGCCTTCCTGAGTAGTTCTATATGGGCATCAGTGGATTCTCTGAGCTTGATAGTGTCCAGGCTGATTCTTTCTCCCGCAGGGCATTTTCATAGATTCTCTGGATAGATAGCCTCTTATCTGACAGTAGGAATCTGTCACCTACTTTGTCATTCACTATGCACTCTCAGGGTGACCATTTATGACTCTCTCTTTGGCCCCTGCTTCCTGGCTGGTCCATTTGAATACAGACTTTCCGTACCAGGGTTCTATTGCTCCTTCAAGTGGCCCTCTTGACAAATTCTTTTAAGGTCCCATGTCCAGCAGATGAAAACCAGGTTCCTTTGACTCCTCAATGGGGATCCAGTTTCCCTACTGGCAGTCCTGACTCTGCGGCCATGGGCTGTTTCAGCAACATCTCCCACTTTGAGTTTCTCAGATGTGAGTCAGGAACCTGTCCAGTGCATCCCCAAGCTGCAGGGAACACACCCCAAGCTCTCTGAATGGTCTCATTGATGTTCCTCTCACCAAGCTTGAGGTGAAGGGCAGGTATGCATGAGGTATGGAGGGGACTCACAGCATAGCTCTTTATAAAGAAATTAATTTCCCGTGATCTCCAGATCCTAAGTTTGTATGCCTTCAGTATAAATGAGAGCTTGAGTCTCAAACCTAGTTTTCAGAACTAGCTTTGCAAATTCTTTGGTGAAAGGTATTTTCCTAAGAGGTTTTATCGTACCCTCCAAGTTCTCTGGGGATTGTAAGGATCTGATGAGGTATGTGAAGGGCAATGAATGTGGGTTTGGCTTCATGTAGTACAGGCAGGGGACACACAGTGGTGGAGGAAGCTGAGAGACTCTGGCTGCTACCCCTTCTCTAAATCTGGGATTCTTCTCTACCACTTTCCCAGGATATAACTTTGGGCAAACTGTTTTACTTCTTCAAATCTCAGTTTCTTTGGCTGTGAAATATCTTGCCTGCTCAGCAAGATGCTCTGAAACTAAATTAGATAATCAATGAAGAATATGCCTTACAATAATAATTATCGTTATTTTGTTCCCTCCTTCCCAGAGCCTGTGCCCCTCCCACAGATCCTGACTGAGTCATCATCCATCACACCAGGCTGGTGCAACCTCACCGTGAAGTGTAGGGTTCTAGGGACCACAGAGGACCTGAATGTAATCTGGGAGACCCAGGGTCTCCCCAGGGAGCTGGAGCAGAGAGGGACACTAGGACCAGCCCCCAACTCATGGACTTTGGCTGTGAGCCTGTCCCCGAGCCAGCGCAATGCCAGCCTCACCTGTGTGGTCAGCAACAATGTGGACCAGAAAACTGCCACCAAAGACCTTGGGGAAGTATGTTGGGCTCAAAAAAGTGTCCAGCAAGGTGAGTATGCTCAGCTCAGAAGACACTTCTTTTCCTGGAGATTGGGGGAAGGGGAGTTGTGCTGACCACCCCATTCCAACCTTGCCGCCTCTTGACAATAAATGCAAGCTGGGAAGATCCAGTAAAAATTTGCATATGCTCCAGGAAACTATCCAGGGAAGGGATGGAATCAGGGATTTTTAAGAAGAGAAAAGAAGAGCTATACTAGGCATTTACTTCTGCTCTGTTCTGAATCCTACTTGAACAGCTACTGAGTGTGTGAGGAGTCATATTTGTAGCAAGTGATTTCAACTGGGAAACATGAAGAAGTTAGAGAAAGGCAAGTTTTGACTCATGATATTAGAGAAGAGCTTTCTAAGGTCAGAGTCATACAAAAATGGAACGGAAGCCTTAGGACAACAGTGAGGTCCTGGCCATTGGTGGGGTGTAAGCACAGCCATAGCCACTCGGTGGGGGTGTTGTAAGTGCAAGAGGGGCAGGACTCTACGGGAAGTTTCCTGCCAACAGCACATTCTTAGATTCTAGGTAACTCTCTTTGACAAAATCATATAGGCTTATTCCCAGCCACAAACTGTCAGGTGGAGCAGAGTACCTGGCATTGAGCTAGCCCCCAGCAGGAAGCACAGCCGCCCCAGGAGTCAGTCACCCAGTGGCTTCTCTCTCCCTGCTCTGTGTCCCACCCAACAGGGACTGGAACTTCAGTCGTATTCCCATTACTGTGCACGATGCTTGCGAAAGGCCTCCTGCTCCTCGGGCTCCTTGGAAAGCTGGGAGTTGAATTCACCAAGAAAAAATTTCCAGCAGAAGAAGGGAAGTGAGAACTGTCCAAGCAGACTTTATTTCCTTTTTTGTCAAGTTTTCTGAACCACAAATGAGAGCTATCTTCTGCCAAGATGTACATTGTATTTGTTATTACAAAAATGATCTATTCATTACTAGTTTGAGTGAATCCACTGTCAATAGGATTTGATCCTTAAGCCCTTGAAAGAGAAAAGACTAATATATGTTTTATGATATTTTGTGTGTTGGTTTTTTGAGGGTTATACACACATGTAAATCAATGTAAATAATTTATGTTTTTCTAGAAATTGTGCATTTAGTGAATATTTTAAATTAAATAGATGTTAATTATGTATTATATCTTTTGGAGTTTTTTTTCTTGTTGTTGTTTTCCTATTTCATATGTGACAGCAGCTTGCTGATCAATCACAAATTCACAAAACTTAAGAGCAACAAAATGTTAACACCATTCAACAATCAGTTAAGTGCATGACAGCTAAAGATAATATAAACTAATAATGGCATATATTGATTGCTTCCTATGCACCATGACTTTTCTTTTTTTTTTTTTAATTGTACTTTGGGTTCTGGGGTACATGTGCAGATCATGCAGGATTGTTACATAGGTACATACATGGCAATGTGGTTTGCTGCCTCCATCCCTCCGTCACCTACATCTGGCATTTCTCCCCATATTACCCTACCCTGACCTCCCCACCCCCCTGCTGTCCCTCCCTTGGACCCCCCAAACAGACCCCAGTGTGTGATGCTTCCCTCCCTGTGTCCATGTGTTCTCATTGTTCAACACCTGCCTATGAGTGAGAACATGCAGTGTTTCATTTTCTGTTCTTGTATCAGTTTGCTGAGAATGATGGTTTCCAGGTTCATCTATGTCCCTACAAAGGACATGAACTCATCCTTTTTTATGGCTGCATAGTAGTCCATGGTGTATATGTGCCACATTTTCCTTGTCTTGTCTATCATCGATGAGCATTTGGGTTGGTTCCAGGTCTTTGCTATTGTAAACAGTGCCACTATGAACATACGTGTGCATGTGTCTTTATAATAGAATGATTTATAATCCTTTGGGTATATACCCAGTATTGGCATTGCTGGGTCAAATGGAATTTCTATTTCTAGGTCCTTAAGGAATCGCCACACTGTCTTCCACAATGGTTGAACTAGTTTACACTCCCACCAACAGTGTAAAAGTGTTTCTATTTCTCCACATCCTCTCCAGTATCTGTTGTCTCCAGATTTTTTAATGATCGCCATTCTAACTGGTGTGAGGTGGTATCTCAATGTGGTTTTGATTTGCATTTCTCCAATAATCAGTGATGATGAGCATTTTTTCATGTGTTTTTTGGCCTCATATGTCTTCTTTTGAGAAGTATCTGTTCATATCCTTCTCCCACTTTTGGATGGGTTTGTTTTTTTCTTTAAAACTGTTCTTTGTAGATTCCGGATATCAGCCCTTTGTCAGATGGGTAGATTGCAAAAATTTTTTCCCATTCTGTTGTTGCCAGCTCACTCTAATGATTGTTTCTTTTGCTGTGCAGAAGTTCTGGAGTTTAATTAGGTCCCATTTGTTTATTTTGGCTTTTGTTGCCAACGCTTTTGGTGTTTTAGTCATGAAGTCCTTGCCTATGCCTATGTCCTGAATGGTTTTGCCTAGGTTTTCTTCTAGGGTTTTAATGGTGTTAGGCCTTATGTTTAAGTCTGAAATCCATCTGGAGTTAATTTTAATGTAAGGTGTCAGGAAGGGGTCCAGTTTCTGCTTTCTGAACACTTCTAGCCACTTTTCCCAAAACCACTGATTAAATGGGGAATCCTTTCCCCATTGCTTGTTTTTGTCAGGTTTGTCAAAGATCAGATGGTTGTAGATGTGTGGCATTGCCTCTAAGGCCTCTGTTCTGTTCCATTGGTCTATATCTCTGTTTTGGTACCAGTGCCATGCTGTTTTCATTACTGTAGCTTGTAGTATAGTTTGAAATCAGGTAGTGTGATGCCTCTGGCTTTGTTCTTTTTGCTTAGGATTGTCTTGGCTATGCAGGCTCTCTTTTGTTTCCATATAAAGTTTAAGGTGGTTTTTTCCAGTTGTGTTAAGAAGGCCATTGATAGCTTGATGGGGATAGCGTTGAATCTATAAATTTCTTTGGGCATGTGGCCATTTTCATGATATTGATTCTTCCTAACCATGTGCATGGAATGTTTCTCCATTTGTATGTGTCCTCTCTTATTTCCTTGAGCAGTGGTTTGTAGTTCTCCTTGAAAAGGTCCTTTACATACTTCATTAGTTGTATTCCTAGATATCTTATTTTCTTTGTAGCATTTGTGAATGGGAGTTCACTCATGATTTGGTTCTCTGTTAGTCTGTTATTGGTGTATAGAATGCTTGTGATTTCTGTACATCGATTTTGTATCCTGAGACTTTGTTGAAGTTGCTTATCACTTTAAGGAGATTTTGGGCTGGGATACTGGGGTCTTCTAAGTATACAATCATATTGTCTGCAAATAGAGACAATTTGACTTCCTCTTTTCCTAATTGAATACTCTTTATTTTTTTTCTTGCCTAATTGCTCTGGCTAGAACTTCCAATACTATGTTGAATAGGAGTAATGAAAAAGGGCATCCTTGTCTAGTGCCAGATTTCAAAGATAATGCTTCCAGTTTTTGCCCATTCAGTATGATATTGGCTGTGGGTTTGTTTTAAATAGCTTTTACTGTTTTGAGATATGTTCCCTCGATACCTAGTTTATTGAGAGTTTTTAGCATAAAGCGCTGTTGAATTTTGTCAAACACCTTTCCTGCATCTATTGAGATAATCACGTGGTTTTTGTCTTTGGTTCTGTTTATGTGGTGCATTACATTTACAGACTTGTGTATGTTGAACCAGCCTTGCATCTTGAAATAAAGCCTACTTGATTGTGACGGATAAGCTTTTTGATGTGCTTTTGTAATTGGTTTGCCAGTAATTTATTAAAGATTTTTACATCTATGTTCATCATGGATATTGGCCTGAAGTTTTCTTTTTTTGTTGAGTCTCTGCCAGGTTTTGGTATTAGGATGATGTTGGTCTCATAAAATGATTTGGGAAGGATTCCCTCTTTTTGAATTGTTTGCAATAGTTTCAGAAGGAATGGTACTAGCTCCTCTTTGTATGTCTGGTAGAATTCAGCTGTGAACCTGTCTGGACCTGGACTTTTTTTGATTGATAGGCTATTAATTGCTGCCTCAACTTCAGCCCTTGTTATTGGTCTGTTCAAGATTTCAACTACTTTCTGGTTTAGGCTTGGGAGGATGCAAGTGTCCAGGAATTTATCCATTTCTTCCAGGTTTACTGGCTTATGTGCATAGAGTTGTTTGTAGTAATCTCTGATTATAGTTTGTTTTTCTGTGGAGTCAGTGGTGATATCCCCTTTATTGTTTTTTATTGCATCTATTTGATTCTTCTCTCTTTTCTTTTTTATTAATCTGCTGAGTGGTCTATTTTGTTGATCTTTTCAAAAAACCAGCTCCTGGATTTATTGATTTATTGAAGGATTTTTTTTGTATCTCTATCTCCTTCAGTTCTGTTCTGATCTTAATTATTTCTTGTCTTCTGCAAGCTTTTGAATTTATTTGATCTTGCTCCTCTAGCTCTTTCAATTTTGATGATAGGGTGTCAATTTTAGATCTTTCCTCACTTTTCTGGTGGGCACTTACTGCTACAAATTTCCCTCTAGATACGCTTTAAATGTGTCCCAGATATTCTGGTACATTGTGTCTTCATTCTTGTTGGTTTCAAAGAACATATTTATTTCTGCCTTCATTTCACTGTTTATCCAGTTGACATTCAGGAGCTAGTTGTTGAGTTTCCATTAAGCTGTGTGGTTCTGAGTTGGTTTCTGAATCCTAAGTTCTAATTTGATTGCACTGTGGTCTGAGAGACTGTTTGTTTTGATTTCCATTCTTTTGCATTTGCTGAGGAGTGATTTACTTCCAATTTTGTGGTCAATTTTAGAGTAGGTGTGATGTGGTGCTGAGAAGAATGTATATTCTGTGGATTTGGGGTGGATTTCTGTAGATGTCTATTAGGTCCACTTGGTCCAAATCTGAGTTCAAGTCCCGGATATCCTTGTTAATTTTCTGTCTTGTTGATCTGTCTAATATTGACAGTGGAGTGTTAAAGTCTCTCACTATTATTGTGTGGGAATCTAAGTCTCTTTGTAGGTCGTTAAGAACTTGCTTTATGTACCTGGGTGCTCCTGTATTGGGTGCATATATATTTAGGATTGTTAGCTCTTCTTGATGCATTGATCCTTCTACCATTATGTAATGCCCTTCTTTGTCTTTTTTGATCTTTGTTGGTTTAAAGTCCATTTTATCAGAGACTAGGATTGCAACTGCTGCTTTTTTTTTTTTCCATTTGCTTGGTGGATCTTCCTCCATCCCTTTATTTTGAGCCTACGTATATCTTTGCATGAGAGATGGGTTTCCTGAATACAGCACACCAATGGGTTTTGACTTTTTATCCAATTTGCCAATCTTTGTCTTTTGTTTGGGGCATTTAGCCCATTTACATTTAAGGTTAATATTGTTATGTGTGAATTTGATCCCACCATTTTGATGCTAGCTGGTTGTTTTGACCATTAGTTGACACATTTTCTTCATTGTATTGATGCTCTTTACCATTTGGTGTGTTTTTGGAGTGGCTAGTACTGGTTGTTCCTTTCCTTGTTTAGTGCTTCTCTCAGTAGCTCTTGTAAGGTAGGCCTGGTGGTGGCGAAATCTCTCAGCAATTGCTTGTCCATAAAGGATTTTCTTTCTCCTTTGCTTATGAAGAAGCTTAGTTTGGCTGGATATGAAATTCTGGGTTGAAAGTTCTTTTCTTTAAGAATGCTGAATATTGGCCCCCACTCTCTTCTGGCTTGTAGGGTTTCTGTGTCGAGACCTGCTGTGAGTCTAATGGGCTTCCCTTTGTGGGTAACCAGACCTTTTTCCCTCGCTGCCTTTAGCATTTTTTCCTTCGTTTCAACCCTGGTGAATCTGACCATTATGTGCCTTGGGGTTGCTCTTCTTGAGAAATCTTTGTGGTGTCCTCTGTATTTCCTGGACTTGAATGTTGGCCTGCTTTGCTATGTTGGGGAAATTCTCTTGGATAATATCCTGAAGTGTTTTCCAGCTTGGATTCATTCTCTCCGTCACATTCAGGTACACCTATCAAATGTTGATTAGGTCTTTTCACATAATCCCATATTTCTTGGAGGCTTTGTTCATTTATTTTCATTCTTTTTTCTCTATTCTTGCCTTCTCATTTTATTTCATTGAGTTGGTCTTCAATCTCTGATATCCTTTCTTCTGCTTAGTCGATTCGGCTATTGAAACTTGTGTATGCTTTGCAAAGTTCTCGTGCTGTGTTTTTCAGCTCCATTCAGTCATTTATATTCCTCTCTAAGCTGTTTATTCTAGTTAGCCCAGCTGTAGCCAGTGTATTGCAATGATAATTATTTCCTTTGGGTTGATGTTCCCAGACTAGATCCAAGTGGAAGAAGGCATGTGGGTGAGGGACCAGGGGTTGAGGACTGGAGGAGTCTACTTACCACTTAAGCCCTGCTGATTTTCTCAGGACTAGAATGATGACAAGTGATATAGATTTCACTCATCAAAGTTGATTACCATTGACAGAGATCAAAGACATATTGCTTATCATGTCACAAAGACACAGGCCAAAACATATTCAAAAGCTAGAGAAATAAATTCCACCTCTCTATGTAAACAGCTACAAAGTCACATTGCAAATTTATGGATTTAGGGAAGGGAAGAATTTGTGGCCATTTTTGTAATCTACCACAGGTCCTGAAGAACTGAATGTAGTCTGGACAACTTCTTACACAGAATAAAGAGGTGACCCTATTGTGATTGGTGCTAACATTGAACTTCTTTTGAAATTTAAAATCTAGATGGTAATGTTTTGTAATGACAGAGAACTTAAATCTCATTATATTATTTATCAGAATCACTCTGTGCTAAAGAGTTAAAAACAGAACATATCTCAAAAGCAGTAATTAAAATGATGAGTTAGATAGGTTTCTTAGGTTAGAAGCACAGACAGGTTAACCTTTACTTGATGAATTAGATGCAAAGTATGGTGATCAGCTATACATGAATTTTAGGTGGCTTGCTTGTGGCGTGGTGAATGAAAAGAAAATAACTTGTTCATTTCATCCAATGAACAATCTTAGTCTTGGCTCCTTACCAAAGATTAGATCAAATACTTGGCCTTTTTATTGAACAATAAAATCCATTTAAACACTTTGAATCTTTATCAGATAAACATTTATGAGTAATTACTGAAAATCATAATCCTATTCACTGAAATCAGTTTCCAGAAATAAAAGGAATGTATTGAACTGCATATCCTAAATTGCTGAATTGAAAAGTGAATTCAGAAAGTAAAAATCTAAAAATAAACCAGCATGGTTGAATTGGCTTTTTTCAATTAATGCTGAGAGCGGGGCTGAAGAGTTACAAATAGCAATAATTGAAGTAGGGAAGACAATACTGAAAAACAATATGGCAATGTAGGAATGCCAGAATTCTACAGATATCTCAGAAAAAGTTATTCTAAATATAAAACTATTGTGCGAAGTTTCTATCCATGGTCAGATTGCCTACATTTGCAAATAGCAGTTTGCCTTTATAAAACAATAAAACTAAATATTGCAACCATTCAAAGGATATAAAGCTGAATCTTGTGTTGCACATACATTGTGAAATATACGTTTTGCCATTTATTTCTTGGTGCAAAAGAAGAGATGTCAAGTTTTTGTTTGTTTTGTTTTGAGATGGAGTCTCGCACTGTCACTTAAGCTGGAGTGCAATGGTGTGACCTCAGCTCACTGCAACCTCTGCCTTCTAGGTCGACGTGATTCTCCTGCCTCAGCCTTCCAAGTAGCTGAGAAACTTTTTTTTTTTTAAAGTTTTGATGTTAAAGTCTCCAAGTAACAAACGGATTTGCCTTGACCTACATAGCTTGTAAGTGATGAAGTTAAAATCATATTCTTAGAACTCTCTAGGCTCTCTCTTTCAAGGAAATCACAACTTATTCTCTCTGCTACCAGATACCAGGCCCACATATTTCAATCAATATATATTTGCCAAAACATTCCAATTTTGTATTCTAGGACATTAAGTAAAAATGTTATGGTATATTATCTAGGAAGAGTATAATGGGGCTATAATTTACTACTCAGCTTGCCTTCTACTCAGATCAAAAGTTGTGGCTTCCCCTGAGACTGATAAGTCAGGATATTTTCATATATGTCAGACAATATGTGAGTTGTCTTGTGATTGAGATGTTTCATCAGGTATATAGATGGCCTGCTGGAGGTGTTCCAGTAGATGGATCAGGGCTCAGAGGAGGGCTTTTCTGGGTTGAATGAAAAATTCTTCCTCTCCAGGGAGATTCAGGGACATCCTTGGATTATGTGCATTTCAACAGGCCTGCAATCTCACATCATCTCTGGTAGCAGTGAGAATAGGTTGTGATTTCCTTGAAAGACAGAGGCTAGAGAATTCTGAAAATATAGTGACTTTAGCCTTGAGAAGTGATTCGCACTAGAATGTCACAGCAGTACTTAAAGAATTCTATTAAATTTTGATTGTCGTAGTCTGTATTCTCTCACACTGGGCAACATTGCTATCTTGTGTTTTCAGAAAGATTCATCTGCTTCCCCTTTCACTTCAGTAACTCAACCAGCTTTATGCAAAGAAGAAGCTTACTGAACTCACTGCCTAGTGCAGGTGTAGCCAAGTGCGACTTGGGCAATCTGGGCTGGCCTGCCTTGTCTCTTCAGATCTCCTCCTTCTCTGACCACCTGGAGCAGGCTTCCATGCTGCTGTGGACGTCCTTGCTGGTCCTTGGTAAGTAATGGAGAAGAGGCCTCTGCTTGCTGCAAAGCTGAGCCTTGCCATGAGCAAAAGGCCTCTTTTCTGAGCTGCTGAAATCATGGATTTTTACTCCCATTTCAGAAAAGCAGAAAATGAACAAAAAGGAAAGATAACGATTTACTGGTAGAAGGGGAAAAATGATAAGAACTGGTTTCCAAAGATGCATTTCTCATCTGCTTTTGCTATTAATTGCCTATGGAAAATCATCTTTACCCCAAAATGGGCTTGTTTATGTAAAAAGAAGCCTATGGCTAGGTTCAGTTCATAAGTCACACAGATTATGAGGACCCAGAGGAAAAGATAAACTGAGTTCCTTGTGAAGGACCATATCCTAATTGTGAACTCAGGTATTAGGGATCATCTGCTGAGAATAGTTATTTCCTTCTCTGTATTCCGAGATCAAACCTGCTCTAATGTTTGCAAAGAGCATGAGAAGAGAAGAAGTAAGATGGTTTTCCATTGATGCTTTTCTTCCTGCTTTTGTACTACCTGTCAGTGTTTGACCAAATGAGGCACTGATTTCCTAGTAGCTCAGGCTAGGGAATTAAAGAACAATCAGTCTGTTGTACATTAAATATTTATTAAGCGTATTTGTCTAGTTCCCACCTGATCCTCAGACCCCAACTAAGGGAGGTTCTGTTAGTGTGACTGGCACATGATGAGAACTAAGGAGTGAATGGATGGGTATACATGGCATACCACACTGCTGGGCACCACAGAGGATACGGAGACTTGAAGGACACAGATTCTGTCCTTAAGAGGTGACATTCTGAATAGAATGTCAACCTACACCTGCAAGAACATCTGTCTTGGCAATATGAGAAAAATGTTACACAAATAGTTATAGTTAATGTGTAAGGACGTCAATTAATTTTCGCTGAGCCCTGACTCCATCTCACTCTTTTTTTTTTTCTTTTTTTCTGAGACAAAGTCTCGCTTTTGTTGCCCAGGCTGGAGTACAGTGGCATGATCTCAGCTCACTGCAACCTCCGCCTCGTGGGTTCATGTGATTCTACTGCCTCAGCCTCCTAGGTAACTGGGATTACAGGTACCCGTCACCATGCCTGGGTAATTTTTGTTTTTTAGTAGAGACAGGGTTTCACCACCTTGGCCAGGTTGGTCTTGAACTCCTGACCTTGTAATCCACCCGCCTAGACCTTTCATTGGGATTACAGGCGTGAGCTACCGCGCCTGGCCTTACATTTCACTTTTCTAAGGGTACCCCATGTATAAATTTATCCAATTCTCTAACAATTGATCAGGTGGAACTCTTATAACTCCCAATTACAAATGAGGAAATGAAGGCACAAAGATGTTGGTCTTATTCCTAAGATTTATGCAGCTAGGACGGTAGCAGAGTCAGGATTCAAACCCATAATCTAACTTTGGAAACTATGTTTTTGACTACTATCCCCTACTGTCTGTCTTGAGTTCCAAATTAACTATGACAATAAGTGTTCTGAATCAAGAGAAGAGGGGTTAGCAGCAGCCCCATACTAAAAAATTAATGACAGCAGCCATTAATTGAAATCTTATTAATCTAACTCATTACAGTAATACTATGAGGTTGCTTTTATGAGCCTCATTTTTCAAATGAGAAATCTAAGACTTGAAAGTTCATGTGGTTTGTCCCGGGTCATACAGCTAAAATTCAAACCACACTGTCTGAGTCCACAGCCTGAGCGTCTGGCCGTGGTGATCCCCGACTTCTCTGGGATGGGTGGAACAGAGCATGTTTCTCTTTCTCTTGGTTGGAAGTAGCATATGAGTGTGGGGCTCTCAGGGTGAATAGTTTGGGACTCTTTGCCCGTGCTGATGGCTGGCTCTTAACTCTCTTGCAGCTCCAGTCTGTGGCCAATCTGGTAAGTCCTTATTTTCTTTGCTCTGTTGTGTCTCTAGATAACCTAATCACTATATTTTATCTCAAATACTTACAAGAGTCCTTGTTGTCCCTTTCATCCTTTTCCTGAGGGCTGCAGAAATGTGGAAACACCTGCTGATGTGGTGACCCAGACTCTAAGAATCAGGTTATTTGGGGGTTACTCTCTTAAATGAAAACTGCCATTGTGCTGGATAAACATGGCAGGGTCTGAGATATGCATCACTGAATCCAGAGGAGGAGGAGCTGCCACCCCACCTCATATGGGATTCTGGCCAAACCTGATGGAATGCATAGCATCCAAGAGGAAAAAGGAAGAAATGAGCCAATACTTCAGAGGGGCAGGTGGGGTCTCCAGCAGCTTTTCCGCTAACCATGTGTAACAAATTTATCCCAAATTTCCGCATCCCATGGAGACACACTTCTCTGTTAATAGCTCAAATCATGATGACTGTGAGTCACCATCTATCCTACTGGTCAGCAGAAAGTCCCATCCTCCATAGGGAGCCACCTCATGGGTGTTTTGGCCATTCCTGTAGAGCACCCTAGGAGCTGTTGGAGCCAAGAGAGGGCCTTTGTCCCCTTGAGGTGCACTGTCACTTGCAGCTCCTAACTCTGCTGTTCTTCCCCTCATCAGTGCCATGGCCACAATTTCCTACACATCCTTTCTGGGACAAGATTATAACTTGGCAGACCTTGCTAATTGTCTTAGAATGGGGAAATGAAATACAAAAAAAGTGCCTGGTATTAGCTACAGCTACAGATGTGGTTAATCTCAGAGCCCAGCAACTCAGTCCCAAACACACGAAGGCCCTGAAAAGTTATGTCCCTTCCTGGCCACACGGCCACCTGCACATAGCAAGGACAGCTTCCTCAAAGCAAAGAAGAGTCTAGTTGCACACAACAAAGGAAATAAATTCTCCTTCCCCCCAGTAGAAGACCTATTGACTAAGTTGCAACTGCCCTACATCCAGTTGCTTCTCAGGAACATGGCTGGTAGGGATTTCTAGTCTCTCAGCAGAAACACAGCCCCATCCCCACTGAAGACATAGGGTATTCATTCCAAATTTTTAAAGACAGAATTTTATTTTGAAAAAGTGTCTGCAGAGGCCGGGCATGGTGGCTCGTGCCTGTAATCCCAGCACTTTGTGAGGTTGAGGCGGGTGGACCACTTGAGGTCAGGAATTTAAGACGAGCCTGGCCAACATGGTGAAACCTCATCTCTACTAAAAATACAAAAAATTAGCTGGGCATGGTGTTGTGTGCCTGTAATCCCAACTCCCTGGGAGGCTGAGGCAAGAGAATTGCTTAAACCCAGGAGCAGAGGTTGCAATAAGCTGAGATGAGGCCACTGCACCCAGCGTGGGTGGGCGAGATTCTGCCTGGGGAAAAAAAAAAAAAAAAGTCTGCAGAGACACACAGATGTTTTACCTTACCCAACAGAACATTTAGCTTCTTCATGTAAAACATGCAGTTGGGTTATTTTAGTTTTCTTTTTTTTTTACTCCCAAACAGAGAAAGGGCATTTTCTTCACACTTAGCTGTAGCTAAAAGATCTATTTGGGAAGTTATTCTGGACAAAGGCAAGAAGGTTTAAAGTTTTAAACTTGAAAAGGCATTTTTCTATAAGTCCTTAAATGTAGACAGTCCTTGTCTAAGTAAAAAAGTTTCCAAGAAGAAAATAATTTAAAGTAATTCTATTTAAAATTTTGTAGTAAATAGCAATTCCCAAAATTGAGACTGTATTGTTTATGGTTAATACAAATGAAATACAAATATTTTATTGTTTAAAATTAATACAAATGAAAACAGAAGTTACATTACTGTAGGCAATTTGTAGGACAAAGCATGAATCTAATATCGATTTTTTAAAAAATGTGGTAGCTGCCACAGCTCCAGCCATCATGACTTTGTTCAAGGCGGAAAGTGGGGAGAAGTGGGGAGGCAGGTAGAGTAGGGAAGTGAAGCTGTGAAAGAGCTCCCAGTGTGCATGTCTTCTTTCAAATAAAAGAAAAACCTTTTCCCAGAATCCCTATTCCTTAGTCCATCCCTCACATCACTTCTCTGACATTCCTTTATTCAGACCTAGATCCTGTAGGTGGGAAAGTTAGTACTTCATTTTTTCAAACACGTTAATGAGTGACAGGTTAGAGAGAAGAGCATTGGGACTGACTTTTGAAAGCCAAGCAAGTGTTTTCCCTATGACTGATTTCTCCTTTGTAACTGTTAATAGGTCGTATTCTGCCATACTCTTTAGTGATTTTGTGAGTCATCAGAGCAGTGGTTCCACATAACTTTTACCAAGTTTATGAATTACCGCATCTTCAGCAGAATCTAAAATAGCAATCAATTTTCATTTGTATACCCATTGAAAGATTAGTCTACCAAGGCACTGATCTTGGAGAAGGCTAGACAGTAGCATTAAATTGGGCAGGTTGTTTGAGCGATGTTTCCAACAGTGAATAATTTGTGTTGTAAGCTGTTACTGTTAGCCGGCACAAAGTCAGAGCTACAAAACTCAGAAAATAAACATTCAGATTAAAAAGAGCCTCAGCAACCACTTCTTGTTAGAAGATATATAATTAAAAACAGAATCTTCTCCCAACTCTGAAATCCTCTCCACAAGGGTAGAAGAGAAAGGAAACATTTGTATTATTGAATAAGCAATAAGCTAGAATAAGATGAGCATCACAGGCAATCCGCTAAGAAGCTGCGAAGACAGAAAGGAATTCCACCCCCTCAAACAGCCAGTTAGATACAGCCCATTCATACATGTTTTCAAGATAAACAATAACTAGGCCTCAAGGAAGAGGGCCTGACAACACCTTTTCTCCCACTAGTTCATTTTAACTTTATCCTGGTAACTGGGGAGGCAACCTGTCTTAAGTAACTGAAGGGAAACAAACTTCTTTGTGGTGGTGGTTGTTGTTCTTTATGCTTTGGTGTCATGTTTAAAAACACATTGTTAAATCCAAGGTCATGAAGACTTATTCTCATCTTTTCTTTAAAGAGTTCTATGGTTTTAGCTCTTATATTTAGGTCATTTATCTATTTTGAGTTAATTTTTTTTATTGTACTCTGGGGTACATGTGCACATCCCGCATCCTGCAGGATTGTTGCATAGGTACATACATGCCATGGTGGTTTACTGTCTCTATCCCCCCTCCTCCCCACCTAGCCCAATGAGTGTTGTTCTCTTCCCTGTGCTCAAGTGTTCTCATTGTTCATCACCCGCCTGTGAGTGAAAACATGAGGAAACAAACTTCTATCTTTACAACAGCAGGTAGTTTTGCGCATTGGAGAAAGCCCGTCAAAGTTAGGTACTTGCCCTCCCATAGGAGCTGACAGACAGGGTAACTATCTCTCTAGACGCTTGTATTCAAAAAGGTGGTTCCCAGGACTTTCCTGGGTTGGGAGTCAGGCAATAGGCTTATTTAACCAATGTAAACATGTATATGCATTTGAAAAGGACAGAGAAAGAAATTCTGAAAGAGGAGGAGAAGTCTCTTACTTTTGGCAGGGAGAATTAAGCCTCTTATTTTTAATTTGTATTATCCTTGCATTCTTCAGTTTCTATACACCAATGCTTCAAAGACTGTATGGCCTAATTTCATGTAGGGTTAGTATTTTAGTGTCATGAGAGAGTGTCTTTGAGACCTGGGGAGTTAGGAGCATCTAGCTCCCTGTACTCTTATTTTCTGCAGCTATCTGGGTACATTTCTTATGTCAGACACAGCCTGCCCACCTCTCCCATGCATACTTCTTGTCAGTAAAAATGTTACTTAAGCCCCTTTTCATAACTGTCTAATTGACCCTCAAATTTCTATACTCACTCCATCTACAACTCCTATCCCATCTCATGTTCATGCTACATGTAGAGGAGGGATAAATTTCTCTCTACCTATCTTAGTTTTGATGAGAACCAAAATATTTCACCCCCAAATATGGCCACCTGGTATAATGGATATTTTGAATTAAAGGCCCTAAAAGATCAACAGAAGAAACTTTTCCCCAATCTACCTAAAGACCAAACCAACCCACCAGTAAGAACAGTTGTTTTATCCTCCCCTCCCTGTTGTCATCCTCTACTGTAGAATAGAAGACTGAAGGGTGGAACCACAGATGAACAGACCCTATCATAAGAAAATGTCTCTCCTTCAGGATCATTCAGCTTCCAAATAAAACTATTTATCCATTAATTCACCCTAGTCATTATGTGTTGCCCCTCAAAAGAGTTACTTACATTATCCCTCTCCCAAAACCCCTCTAAAAATGGCTGGGTAAGTATCTGGGCCCCACTGACATATTTGGGGAATTACTCTGTAATTCTTCCCTGTACATGTTGATAAATTTGTAGGCCATTTCTCCTATGAATGTGCTTTTCATCAGTTGATTTTTCAGCAGACCTTAAGAGGGCAAAGAAAAAGTTTTCTCTTGATTCCTACAGGTTAATTTTCTAGGGTCCATAAATTATCTTGCTAAAAGACAGATTAACAAGTGTACATACACAGGGGAGTTTGCAAAGAAAAACATGGCTCAAGGATGCAGCCAGATGATTGAGGTTTACACAGGTTGAATATCCCTCATTCAAAAATCTGGAACCCAAAATGCTCCAAAATCTGATATTTTTTAACCACTGACATGAGGATCAAAAGAAATGCTCACTGGAGCGTTTCAGCTTTCAGATTTTTGGTTTATGCATATGTTCCAAAATCTGAAAAAAACTCGAACTCCAAAACCCTTCTGTTCCCAAGTATTTTGAATAAGGTATACTCAGCCTGTAACCATCTTAAACAAAGGAAAAGGAGTTTTGGGCTTCCGGGTGTGGGGGAAAAGGTATGGCAGGTTGACTAGGAAAACCATGGTAAACAAGGTGTAAGTGAATATTTAAGTGAAACAAGGTTTAAACAATATTTAAGTGAATGGCTTCTCTATTGAGGAAAGTTGTTAAGCGCATTCCTCTTCCTGGTATGGGAGAGGGAGACACATTTACAAAAGGAAATTTCATTTATAAGTGAAAATTTCTTTTTTCATTTATAAAGGAAAACATGTGCCTTGTTTTTAGAACTTTTCCTATTTCTGGTGATTCTCCATGGCTTTTAGCCCAAAATAATTTATATGCCAAAGAGACAAACCTGGAGATGGCATTTTCTGGTACCCTTCACACACAAGAACTCATCTCAGAGAGGTCTCTGTAACACCAGGATCCCAGGTGGGAACCCAGGAGAAATGCAATTTCCAACTATCTACCTGAAGACCTGGTTCACTGAAACAAGTAAGAGAGTTTATGAGTCTCCCATCATCCATCACTGCTGAGTGGATCCTGCTAGAGCTGCCCTCCTTCTGAAAGGGCAATCTGCTGCTGCAGACCACTGAGCAGCCACTGCACCCGGGAGGAGGTGAACACAGCTCACCTGCAACCTGGGGAAACAGAAGTTGTCCTTGGACCTCTTAGGGATCTCCCATGCCATGTCCTCCAGTGTAACCCACACAAGCCACTGCAGCTGGGACTGCAGGCACCTCCACCTCAGACCCATTACTCTTTCCTCCTCAGCAGCTGCACACAAACCTGTGATTTCCCTCCATCCTCCATGGACCACAGTCTTCAAAGGAGACAGAGTGGCTCTGACTTGCAATGGATTTCACTTCAATGCAACAGAGAAAACAAAATGGCATCGTCTGAACGGTAGGGGAGAAACTTCGACCCTAACCCCAGGAAACACCCTCGAGGTTTGGCAATCCGGAAATTACAGATGCCAGGCCGAGGGCTCCCCACAAAGTGACCCTGTGCGCTTGGTCTTTTCTTCAGGTGAGAAAGAAGAATTAGTTGAAACTTTATAAATGGGTTCGGTTTATCTCTGCTCCCTGGAGGTTCTATAAACTGGGGTCTTTTATTCCTAACACTCAATCCCAGCTACTTCAGTTTCACATTCTCCCTCAATGCCTACAAATGTTTTTCAAACTACTATTGAAACTTGAGTTTAAATGGTTAATATTAATTGACATCCCCACACACCATCCCCACACACCACTTACACAGTCAAGGAAATGAGTTAGCTTTAGGGATCACAAAAATGAAGCCATCTCAGATCCTGCCCTGCAGGGCTTTAATAGCCTCATAAGGGAGAAATTAAACACACATAAATGTTCTGAGGACAAAAGTGCCATCAAAGGAGCTCAGAGGTGGGAAATCTCCAGTCTGAGGCTTTTCATCCCCATCCGTTGTGATGTGTGCCCTCCTCATTCCTAGTTTTCCTTCTGCTTGGCATCAAGTTCCCACATTTCCTCCTGTCCAGTTTTACCTGATTGATAAGGATTTTTGTCACTTCCAAGGTCATGGTCTGCAGTAGTAGCCTTTCAACACAGTCATCTAAGACAGAAGGGTTATAGCTAATCTCAAATTAAAATCATTACAATCTGAACAGCATGGAATTTCCATAGGACCACATCCACGGTCCCTGATACCTAGACAGTGTCACTGACAAGACTCCTGCTATAAAACACACTCCAATGCATCGGAAGAGTTCCGTGCATAGTTCTCCAAGTGCTACTTCCTTCATAGCTCCTGCTCTGAGACTTGGTGAGCAGGTTGGTGTTAAATTCTGCCATACTCTATCATGTCAGGGATTCTGATCACACCTCCTCTCAGCTTTTATTCTCCACATTAGAATCCTTGTCTTTGGAATCTGACCGTGAATGCTTAAATAGACATGTCTGGGATTCATTTAGGAATTGTACCTGAAGCATGTTACACTGATTTAGAAGGAGTTTTTGAGCTTAGATCAGGAGATTGCATCCTGTGGAAGAAAGAAGAAAACAATAAAACCTTTGTAATTTAAGAGACACAGAAGAAGGAGGCAGCAGGAGTGCTTTGAATGACCATCTCTTCTCTCTGTGTCTTTTCCAGTCTCCTTAATCCTGCAGGCCCCATATTCTGTGTTTGAAGGTGACACATTGGTTCTGAGATGCAACAAAAGGAGGAACGAGAAATTGACTGCTGTGAAATACACTTGGAATGAAAAAACTCTTTTCAAATCTAATAAAAGCTCGAATCTTCTTATCCCACAAGCAAGTTCAAATAACAGTGGCAATTATCAATGCTTTGGATATGGAGACAAAAATGTATTTAAATCAAACAACAAAATTATTAAAATTAAAGGTAAATCTTTCGCCTCATATAAATTTTGTTAGTAATGTCAGGGTCAGGAAACTGAGCATGTAAGGAAGGAATTTATGGATTACTATTTAAACTCTGAATAGATGAGAGGCACAAGTCCTCTAAGAGGCAGAGAAAGTAGGGTAATTAGATGTGAATAAACCTGTGGAAGAAAAAATGTGGTAGAGGGCTTGATAAGTTTGTCTTGCTGTGTGTCTGAAGTTTCCTGGGACTGAGCATCCAAACCTGTCTCTCACGGAATGCTAAATACTCTTGTGCTCAGAAATTGATTTACCTCTTCTCTCTAGAACTATTTCCACATCCAGAGCTGAAAGTCACAGACTCTCAGCCTACAGAGGGGAGTTCTATAAACCTGAGCTGTGAAACACAGCTTCCTCCAGAGCGGTCGGACACCCCACTTCACTTCATCTTCTTCAGAGATGACAGGGTCATCCTGTCAAACTGGAGCAAGTCCCCGGAACTCCAGATCCCAACCATCTGGAGAGAAAACTCGGGATCCTATTGGTGCGGTGCTGAAACAGTGATCGGTAGCGTCCACAAGCGTAGTCCCTCGCTACAGATCCACGTGCAACGTGAGTGTTGGAGAGCCAGGCATCTTCCCTGCCTCTCTCTGCCCCTTGGCCTCTGTAGGCATGGGGACTATGTAGAAGAGGTGGATTTTATCATCCTGACACAGGCACCAGACTTAGGCCAGAAAATGAAGTACTATAATACAAGAAATACATGACTACTTTTCTATCTCCATTTTCCTAAAAATTCAGTCTTCCTTTGAAACTCTTATCACTTCAGAATCACAGCTGACTCATGGAGTTAGGTTTGAGAGCTATGGAAAACAAAACAAAACAGGAAAACAAGGTTCCCTGCTAGGGAGTTGGCAGATTCTAGAATGCTAGATCTAGATGCTAGGCAAGCATCTACCTTTTCCTATTCAGTAGCTACAAACAATGTGGGTGCTGATGATGTGTACAGCAGAAGAGAAGAGGAGATAGATAGACCCAATAAATATCACTTAGGTACCAAATTAGGACTTTTAAAAACAGATGTGGTCCAGCCAAGTGCCATGATGGCCACTATTGCTATTACCTCTCCCTCAAAACAACTCAGACCTCTAGCCAAGATGTCAGACAAAACCCAAATGCTTCCTCTGGGTTAGTCCTTTTTTCTTTCCTGGGGCCTTGTATATCAGGATGGAAAGCTTGTTACATTTAGTGATATTCTCAGCCCTAAATTCATAGTCTGTTGGCCACCATGCTAGTACCTGCTGAAGAGTATATCTTGAAGTCACATAAAAAGTGACCCTGCTCAACACCCCAGCTACCCAGCCCTGCCCTCCCTTACATGTGGCCCCCACCTGTGGTCTCATTTTCACATAGGGATCCCTGTGTCTGGGGTGCTCCTGGAGAGCCAGCCCTCAGGGGGCCAGGCGGTTGAAGGGGAGACACTGGTCCTTGTCTGCTCCATGGCTGAAGGCACAGGGGACACCACTTTCTCCTGGCACCGAGAGGACACACAGGAGTGTCTGGGGAAGAAAATTCAGCGTTCCCCAAGAGCAGAGCTGGAGCTCCCTGCCATCAGAGAGAGCCACGCAGGGGGATACTACTGTACAGCAGACAACAGCTACGGCCCTGTCCAGAGCGTGGTGCTGAACGTTACTGTGAGAGGTGAGTTTTTCTCTCTGCTGACCTAATTATTTACTCTCAGCAGACCTCCTCAAATTAAGGGTGGGGATAGAGAACATTACCCTGTGACTCTGCTTTTTGTGTTTCCATTTTGCCACACTCCACTGTGATAAACAATTTCTTCCATTAGAATATTAATAACTCAGTCAGGTCAGAGTAAGGTCCTGTAGTGAGGTAATGCTGGCCTGGCCGGGAGCCATTTTGCCTTTTGGAGGTGATTTTGTTTCTCCGTGCTTGGATTCATTGCGTGTTAATCTTCAAGAGGAGCCTTATCTTGTCAGCAGTGTTTCTGGGTGGGGCACAGCTCTGTCACCCCACCGTGTCACCCTACAGTGTCAACTACACCTCTCCTTTCAGTCAATCATCCACACACATCAGACCAGCAGCTTCAGGTCCACAGAAACAAAAGCACAAGGTATTCCTTGACTTCATTACCGTAATAGAATCCTGAAGGATTCTCGGCAGCCGAATTGTATATGGGTCAGGAAACTCAAAAGCATGGAGAGCAGATACAAAGCCCACTTTTGTCCATTGAAAAGAGAAGCCTTACTTTGGGATCTCACAGTTTTAGCTCAATTACGTCTCTTCCTCCATCCCCGAGAAGCCACACTGGGCCAAGCTATGTTCTCACTCAGCTACCTTGGCACTAAGGAAATGGTCTCTACTGGGCTTCAATCGCTTCTCAATCTCAGGTTTAGTTGCATCCCTGGCTCTCAAAAAGAAAAAAAAAAGTAAAGTGAAAGAAAGAAAAGAAAAAGGAAAAAAGCAAGCTTTTATTAAGTTACTGCAAAGTTCAATTTTCCTGCTTTCCTGTATAATGAAACTCAAAAGAGTTGTCTCTATTCACTCTCCTTACTTCATCTATTTTTTTCTTAAACCCATCACCACCAGGTTTGCCTCATTCCACCAAAATGGCTAATGATCTCCATGTTTCTAAGGCCAGTAGAAAACTGTTTTCATTTTATTTGATCTACCTCCAGCTTTTGAAAGAATTGATCCTTCCCTTGTTCTCGAAACATTTTCCTCCTCAATTTCTGGGACATAACTTATTGGCATTTTACCTATTCACCAGACACTTTTTAAAGTTTTCTTTCCTGATCCTTATAATATTTCCAATGTCTACATTTTGGGAACTACCAGGGATCTGTTCTCAGACAAGCTGTGCCCACTTTCCATAACATCTCATTCAGTCTCGTAACTTTAAATGCGCTTATGATTTCTATCTATGTGTGACTCCCAAACTGAACTAAAACTTAGACCTCTAGTCTGAACTCGAGGCTCATATGTTAAAGTATTTAAACCAAGTGCATAAGAACAGCTAGTTAGCGTCTCAAACAACTCATCTAAAACCAAGCTCTTGGATTTTACTTCAGAAGGTTCCTGCCTAAATACTCCTCTCAGTAAATACAAAACTCCCTTCCCCTAGTTGCTCAGGCCAAAAATCTAAGCATCAGCCTTGCCTCTTCTTATTTCATCCCCCATATTTTATCCACTTCCAAGTGCTAATGGCTCTACCTTCAAAATACAGCCAGAATCTGACTACTTCTCACAGTCTCCACTGCTACCACCTGGTCCAAGTCACCAGCATTCCTTGCCTGGATCATGGCAATGACATCCTAACTGGTCTTCTATATGTCTATTCTCAATGCAGCATCAGAGGGAACTCTTAAATCGTAAGTCAGATCATGTTACTTTTCAGCTTAGCATCCTTCCTTGGCTTCCCATGTCCTTCAGGAGATAGCCAGTACCCTCTCAATGACTCACCTAGATCATCCAGGCCCTGCATGATCTAACCCTCCTGTCACCCTGGCCTCATCTCCTACCTCTTTGTCTAGCCCTCTCTATTGCCACCATGCTGACCCTCTGTCTCTTCCTCAAACTTTCCAGGCCCAACCCCAGCTCGGGGCCTTTACACTGCAACCTCCCTGATATCCTCATGCTCACTTCTTCACTTCCTCCAGAACTCTACTCACTTTGTCAGTCTTTTCCCAACCACGCTCTGTAACATGGCAGTCCTCTCTCCAGCTCTCGCTCTCCTGGTCCTGCTTAATTCTCCCATCACAGCACTTATCACCAACTCCCAGGCCATGAATGCCCTTATCTGTTTGTTGCCTTCTCCCAGGTGTCTCATATCAGCCTCATGCGGGTGGATCCTTCTTTTTACTACTGTTGTATCCTGAGTGCCTGGAATAGTGCTTGACTCAGGCATTCAGTAAACATCTGCTGAATAAATGAGCGTTGTGCATATCATCTCTGTTGATCATCATAACAATCCTCTGAAGATATTATTATCTCCATTCTACAGAAGGGAAAGAACAACTCAGAAAGGTTTGGTGATTTGTATAAAGCCACAGAGCTTACACATGGCAGCCTAGATTTGAACCTTGATGCAGTCATTTAGCTCTGAGACACAGAGAGCCATGTCAAAGCTCTCCAAAGAAATACCACGCAGTCAAATATCCACTGTCAACCATGCTAAATAAGCAGACAGCCGCACTGTTTATATGAGGTTAGCTCTGACAGTCAGAGACATAAACCTGAACAGTTTAGTCAGAGGCTCTGGCAAGGGGTTGCTATGCTAACCGCCCACATGCTGCTCAACTTTCTCTTCAACTCCCTCGAGGCAAGTCTTGTGATCAAGCAGGCCCTACCAGGTTAAGAGACTGAGGTGTTTCCCCAGAACTAAGTGCCACAGCAGTCTGCCTCTCAGTCCAGGAACAACAATGGGTGTAATTCCCAGCAGAGAAGGACTGAGGCTGAGCTAATGTCATTTTAATGATTTAATGTCATTTAATGATCATCTGTTAAGAAAAGAGATTAAACGGACATCAAGGATCCAGTAATATTTGATGGAATATTACTGGAATATGAATATGAATTTAGAATGAGTATCCTAAATCTTTTTTATTCATGGACTTTATGCAAAATCCCTGTGCTTAGAAATAGGAGAATTTATAACAAGGGAGAAACTCTGCTCTAGCCACATGCACTGGGCTAAGGTGGGCTGTCTTGGTCAGCTTGAACTGCCATAACTAAATACCATGTACTGGGGGGCTTAAACAACAGAAGTGTATTTCCTTATAGTTCTAGAGGCTGGAAGTCTGAGATTGGTGCACTAACATAATTTAGATTCTTGTGAGGGCTCTCTTTCTGGCTTACAGAAGGCTACCTGCTTGCTGCGTCCTCAAGTGGCAGAGAGAGAGAGCAGGACAACCTTTCTGGTGCTTCTTCTTAGAAGGGCACTAATCCTATCATTGGGGCCCCACCCTCATGACGTCATCTAAATCTAATATCTCTTAAAGGCCCCATCTCCAAATACCATCACATTGGGGTTAGAGTTTCAACATATGAATCTGGGGGAGAAGGGCACAATTCAATTCATGGACTGAGGTTGTCTGGGGTAGGACTACGGGGAGCAACCTTAACCTATGGAGGTGTCCTCTAAGCTAATCAGAGAGCAGCCTGAAGTTCCTGAGGGCCAAGGGCATGGTATTAGGACAATAAATAAAAACTAGCACTTGCCTAGACATAACACTTAGGTGCCAGGCACTGTTCAAAGCACTTTACATGCATTAACTCATTTACAACAGTAAATAGTCACAATAATCCCCAGTTCACTGAGAAAACTGAGGCAAAGGGAGATTAAATAATTTTCCCTGGCCACACAGTGAGTAAATGGAGGAGCAGGAATTCTAACCAATCTGGATTTAGAATCTGTGCCTTTCTAACTGAGGCAGATTTCAATTACTTTCCCCAAAGTAGCCATTTCTTCTAGGAAACAGGGTTACCAGGAAGATAGAGTAACTTGCTTTCTGCCCATTGAGTCCAGAATTCTAGACCTGGACATGGCTGATTATGATTTTGCACAGAAGGCAATGGGGAAAGACTGCCCCAGCAGGCAATGGGGAAAGATTTGATACAGGATGTAGTGGCCAGGCTTCTCTGTCCTTAGATTTCTCCCCTGCTCTCCGCCCTACTCCTTCAGCTGTTGTGGTTGGGAGGCTGAGCTGGCTGCCCACTGAATACTGTCTATAGGTAGAACCACTCATAGGTCAAAGGGCAGGTTTGTTGGTGTTGTCAGAAAGGGAAGGATAATGTCAGAAATGTCACCCGCCACTCCTGGCCAATGGCCCCTCTGTGCCAGAAATCATAGATGAAAATAAATGGGAATCATGGTCAGCGTTGCTGTTGTTCTACTATCTGCATGTTCTCTGTCAATGCTGTGGCACCTGTGTCTGAGGTCTGAATTTAGTTTACCTGGGGACCAAGAATACGTATGAAAAGCACCAGCCCCCAACCTCTGTCCCTCTCTCCTGCTTTTGCTGTTTAGCTCATCACCACAGGGCATAGTATAAATTTATTTATTTGTTTATTGCTTGTCTCTCCTCCCTGGGTTATAAACTACAGAAGAACAGGGACTTTACTGTCTTATTCACTGCTATATCTTCAAGAGTTAGGTCAGTGCCTGGCACAGGGTAGCCTCAGTAAATATTTGCTGTATAAATGAGTTAACTTAATGAAACCTCCCTTTCTGTGGATGAAAGGAGAATGGACCCCTAATCCCTAATGGAAATATCAAAAGCCCCTAACAATTTACTGATTGTTTGTACTTTTCCATCAGTTTTTTTCTCTCCTGCCCTTCAGAGCACACAAGGCACGGGCTTCTATGAGGAAGGAAGCTGATGTCATTTCATTGTGTGTTCCAATGTGCTTTTTTAATGCAGAGCTTTAAAACAGAGTTTCTGTTGGTTCACTTGGTGCCCTAATCAGTGATGAATTTTCATTCTTTATCGGACAGTTTGTTTCCTAAGTTAGGTGCTGCCAAGCCACAGTCCCATGGTAGCTCTCCAGGTGTCTGGGGGGAATTCATAGGAAGTCAGGTTACCAGAATGCATTAGGATTTCCTCTAAATTGTTAGTTTCTAAAATGATTCACTGAAGGTAGAGGGAGCTCTTTTCTTTTTCCACTCAGGCCCTGGCCCACCCACGGTGAGCTTTTTTGGCCATAACCCGGCCCAAAGTTTCTTTATAAGTCCTAGTCCTTCAGATTCTTCTCTCTTCCAGGGCTCAGTACCCAACCAAGCTGAGGAAAAGGCAATCCCAAGCCCTGAACCTCTCCACTAAGGTTCACACAGGTCCTTTTCCCTTAGTGACTCCAGGCAACAGAGATGGCCTTGTCACCGCGGGAGCCATTGGGGGTCTGCTCGGCGCTCTTCTCCTGGCTGTGGTCCTGCTGTTTCACTGCTGGCGCCAGAGGAAGCCAGGTTTGTGCTCTTCTCTTTGCCAGAGTTCCTGCCCCGTCCGTTCCCCTGAACTCAGCATGCAGCCAGCCTCAGTAGCCACCAGGCCACCACTCCCAAGTCACCACCCCCATCGCTCACACACACTCACGTCTGCCCCTTCCTTAAGGGGTAGTTTTGCAAATAGAGGCTGTGAATGAGAGCTGCTCATATCTAGTCTGATTAAGTATCAAGTGAAAGGGAGGAAGAGCGGAATTTTTAATGTAAAGTTCCAAAAACTTTATCTGAACTGTTTACTGAGACAGTTTCTTGGTTCATACAGACTGGCCAGTTGAATACTTCAGCCTATCCTAAATCCACCATAAATGGAGATTCAAAATGAACTGAAGGGCTCTGCAGAAATGACTGAGAATACAGCTGGCTAATTTCTATCCTTCTCTCCCCTAAGAGACTTTTCTGGGTCGGAGCTTGAGCCTGCTGTCTTATGCTCCAGCAGCCCCTCTCTCCCCAGGTCAGCCTCCCCTGCCTTACAGAGACGTTTGTCCCGGGCACTGTCTGCTGCATACTTCCAAAGCCTTCTCACCTCAGCCCAGTTCAGGCTAGCTTTGGATGCCAAGAAACCTGGTGTAGAAGACAGGCACAGAACCTTTTTCAGCTCTAGAATAATTACCCGCATGCTTCAACTCTGTCTCTTAATTCAATTTCAACTTTCCAGATTCCTGACAGTACCTTCTGTGTGTCCTGTATTGGGTTGGAGGTAGGGAGTTTTGGATCTCTGGCCAAATCTCCTTAGTGAGCCTGAGTCAGACACTGATACTCCTCTGGGCATGGCCACAGATGTTCCTCGAAGTTCACCCACAGCTCACTACTCTGCAAGTAACAATTTGGTTATATGTAATATTTCCTGAGGGATTTCAACACAGACTTGAGTCTTAATAAATTCTCAAACAACTGCATATTTAACTCAGGAGTGGGCAGTCCTTGCCTCAACAAGTTATCTGCTTTGTTCAATCTTTCTTCACATCATTTTCAAGAAAATTCAGGACTGGGCAGGTGTTTGAATTTACTTTCTTGATGACCTCTCTTAGATGGCTCCTGTATGCGAAGTATTTGAGAAGGGCTTTCTGTGTTGACACAAATGCGTCTTTGCTTTATTTTGCAGGAGATCGTTTCTTGGGAGATGAAACCAGGTGAGACCTCAGCTTCTACCAGTTCCTTTTTTGTTTCCCAAGTACACAATATGCAAAACTGTGGGGTTACAAAATTAGGTCAAGTTATTTCTCTTTGGCCCTGTGGCTAGATACCCCCATTTTCACATTCCTTCAATTGGTGAAAAATGAAGCTTTCTAGAACTGTGCTTGTCAGCTCACAGTTTGCAACATGCAAAATAATAGATTTCTTATTTCACATTAGTCTATTCATCTAAATGGATAATACCAAAGGTTATAAATTTTCTCGGTTGGCACAGCATGTTTCTTGTCCTATAATTAAGTTAGACAATGTGTTCATGTAACCATGCATACAATGACTACAGACTAGATTTTCTTCAAATTTTCTAGGTTTTCCAGGGAAGTCTACGTTTCTAATAATCTTCTTTTTGCACCATGCATGCATATATGCTCATTCAACTTTATGTCCTTAACTTTCGTTTGGAAAATATGGCCCTCTTCCTCTTTCTATGCCAGTGTCTTAGGAATTGGAGTATGGATTATGTCTAATTCCTTCTTGGATTGTACACATATTACAATGTAAAGTACAGTGGTGCGATCTTAGCTCACGGCAACCTGCGCCTCTCAGGTTCAAGCAGTTCTTGTGCCTCAGCTTCCCAAGTAGCTGAGATTACAGCCATGAGCCAGCACATCTAGCTAATTTTTGTATTTTCAGTATAGACAGGGTTTCACCATATTGGCCAGGTTGGTCTGGAACTCCTGGCCTCAAGTGATCTGCCCACCTCAGCTTCCTAAAGTGCTGGGATTACAGGTATGAATCACCTCACCAGGCCAACGATAAAGTGAAGACATTTAATCACTCTTTCCTGATGATGAAGAAGGCAGTGTATGTATATTTAAGACAGGATCTCGCTCTGTCACCCAGGCTGAAGTGCAATAGCATCATTTCAGCTCACTGCAGCCTCGACCTTCCAGGCTCAAGCAATCCTCTCACCTCAGCCTCCCAAGTATCTAGGACCACTAGCGCATGCCACCATGCCTGGCCAACTTCATTTTATTTTGTGTAGAGACAAGATCCCACTATGCTGCCCAGGCTGGGAAGCCACTATTTTTTAACCAACCAAGAGTGATCATTCCAACTATGAGACAATGATTGTTACTATGATGTCAGAGACTCTCTATCCTTGTTTCCAGAGCTCCAGGGTCTGTTTCAAAAGAACAATCTCACTCTATATAGACCTATTGAAACTCTAAACCATCCAGGGTTTCCAGTACCCTCTTGGCTGCTGACTCTCCCCAAATCCTCTTTCTCCTCTGCCTCTCTCCCTGGGCATCTCACTGTCCTGCATGTTACAATGTTCCAGGGATTATTATGTGTTTCTGTGTCTCACAGGATCCCTCCCACTCTGGCGCCAGGAGAGTCCTCCTATTCCATTTGCCCTGCCCAGGTGGAGCTTCAGCGGTTGTATGTCGATGGTGAGGGTTCCCCTCTAGGAAGCTGTTCCTGGCCTCAGCCATGGAAATGTAATATGCTTTTGGCCCTGGGAAATGCCCCTGGACTCCCTAAAGTACTCAAATCCAGATATTCCCAGATAATTGTTCTATTGTGTGTCCAAGAAGAGTGGAGGTGATGCTTAGGAAGAGGCATCTGTAGTACTTTAATACTAACAGAAACAGCCTTGAAAATGTCTTTTCTTTCCAGTACATCCCAAAGAGGAAGATTTGATATACCCTGAGATCCAGATTATTCGTCTGGGAGAAGAAGGGGAAGGTACGTCTCTGGGAAGAGGTTCTGGCTGCAAACCACATTCATTCATTCATTCAACAAATATTTACTGAGGACCTCCTATGTGCTAGGTACTATTGCAAGTATTGGAAGTTGGCTAGCAAACAAAGCAGACAAAAATCCCTGCAAAGGTGAGCTTAGATTCTAAGGCGGAAAGATAGACACTGAAATACTGGTATACTTTTGCGATGATCGGGATGAAAATTAAGCATCCTTCTGATAGATACCGTGATCACTATAGTGTATGTACTAAGGTCGCCCTCAGGTCTGGATGAATAAATGTTTTTAAGATGTCTACTATGTGGTAGGCATTGTGCTGAGAATATTTATACATATATATCATATATATGTACATACGCATGGCATTTTTAAATTAAGAGCTGGAAACTGTGATTTTTACAGTATTGTATTCCTCTAATTACTGTCAAATTTTAAATTTTATTTTGGAGCAAGTAAGTTATTTGGAATGAATTGGATTCTTTTGAGGCTTGCTTTTAAGCTTTATAAGGGTGAGTCTCAAACAACCTTTACAGTAGGGTAAATTCAGCCTGATAGTAAAGCGATGCATTTCTGGGGATTCTACATCAGATGGTCCATGAATTAGATCTGCATCAGCTTCTGGTATTATTTTGCCTCTTCTTTTCTGACGGTTCTTACCCTGGCCTAAGATACTTTCCTCTTACAAATATGCCTATCAGTATTCAGCCGAAGACTTAAGGAGAACTCTCTGCAGACCTCTGGAGCTTTCAATCTGCATTCCTCCTGTCTCTCTGGTACTGTCCTGCAAGTTGTAGCTGCTTCAGTAAAACAGAATTCTTGGTCTCTGTTGTTTCAAGTCAGGAAAGCTTCAAGCCAGAAGCCAGGCTCTGAACTCCCAGTCCATGCACAGCTGGGTGGTAAACTGGTGCAATATGTGAAAACCACCATTTTGTCCTTTATTCTCATTGTTTAAAATGGGAAGATATATCCAGTCCCCTTAGGTCCATTTTGGTCGGAATAAACTGAGTTGTCTCTTGAAGTTCTACTTCACTTCTTTAATCCTATTCAGATCCATTTTAAGACCCACTGACGAATTGAGATCTGTTGTTAGAAAAACACTACTCTAAGTAACTGCAACCCATGGTCCACTTTGGCTTTCTCAGGTGGGAGGTCTGTATCCCAGTATCAGGAAAATCACTTCAAAATCACTTCAGAAGTTCAAACGGAATTTCTGAGACCTCCTTCACCTGGCTGGGGGCCATAAAATAGCAAACTCCACCTGTTACTGTCACCTCAGAAAGTCAAAGCGGAGACACAGTGGATATCAACTGATCAATCCTTCTAAAGACATCTCTTCAACAAACCTTTAATAATTTTCCTCCCCACACTTCCTTGCTTTGATTGATTAACCTGGGTCCTTAGAGTCAAGGAAACAAACAATTCTACTTCTTGTATAAATCTACCCATGGCACCTCACTTGGGAAGTTAAAATCGCCTAGGAACTTCAGTTGTAACCTGATGCTGAAGCTCTTCTATGGAAATGAAATATACATAAGACTCAGGGAGGTGAAGGACTTTCTGAAGGTCACAAAGCCAGCAAAAGACAAAGCTAAGACCAAGTCTTCTGTCTTGCTATATCTGCTGCATGAACAGTCTATTACTATATTTGACCAACATATATCACCTGATCCCCTGCTTTGTCTTTCACTTGGTTCCCTGAGCTACCTCCATGAATCAGGCTCCCCTTTGAATGGGAGAATTAGAATGGCCACTACCTTTCTTGGGTTGGTTGAGTACATCTTATCTTACAGAGCTACCTTGATCATTTTGCTTTTCTTCATTAGTCTGTTCATCTAAATGGACAATACCAAAGGTTACAAATTTTCTGGGTTGGCACAGCATATTTCTTGTCCCATAATTAAGTTAGACAATGTGTTCATGTAACTATGCATACAATGACTACAGACTAGATTTTCTACAAATTTTCTAGGTTTTCCAGGGAAGTCTATGTTTCTAATAATCTTCTTTTTGCACCATGCATGCATATATACTCATTCAACTTTATGACCTTAATTTCCATTTGGAAAATATGGCCCTCTTCCTCTTTCTATGCCAGTGTCTTAGGAATTGGAGCATGGATTATGTCTAATTCCTTCTTGGATTGTACAGACATTACAATGTAAAGTATAGTGGTGTGATCTTAGCTCACGGCAACCTGCGCCTCTCAGGTTCAAGCAGTTCTTGTGCCTTAGCTTCCCTAGGAGCTGAGATTACAGCCATGAGCCACCACATCTAGCTAATTTTTGTATTTTTAGTAGAAATACAAAATACACTCTTTCCTTGACATATTTATCAAAACACCATTTAAGCCAAGCATTCTGCGGATGGACTCATTATATTTCAGAAACTTGAAGTATTAATGATCTGTGGAATGGTTTCCTCACCTGTTCCTCAAGGTTTACATGACGTCCCTGACATCATACGCAAAGTTTTGTGCATATGACCATTATTCTGGGGAGAGTACATAGTTTTTATCATACCATTAAAAATATCTGTAACCCCAAAAGGTTTGGGGTAAGAATATGGTAACAATACAGTAAGAAACAGAGAAATGTCAAGTGCCCCGGAGTGTATGTTTTTTTCAGGCTCTATCTCTCCATAAAATTACTACACTGCTCTGATCATTCTACCTTTTACTCTGAGACTCTTAGTTTCTAATAGGCATGGCTCAACAACCCATATCTGCTGAACTTTCCCCTCACTCTGGCTCCATCTCTAGGAAACCAAGGCAGCAAAATCAAGAACTACAACTTGCTAATGCAGGAGAGAGTTTCTCCTCACAGAGCATACATCTGGAGCACTGTAATGGGAACTTGCCAAACCATTGCCAGTAGTGAGATGACAGTATTGTAAGCTAAGAGAAGCAGGAACTAAAACTAAAAGAAAAATAATCTCTCAATATCTGGTAGAGGAAAGGTGTGAGGTTTCTTAGTGTGGTACTAAGGGAGGAATTAACAGATCAATGGAGCTTGAAAAGAACTTGCAGGGGGCTGGGTTAAGAAATGATAGAATGGAAAGTCAAATGTGTTGAAGGACATGTTAAGGGATGAGGTGTGGAAACATGATAATCAATGGATTATCATTGGGCCCAGTGGCTCCCAGACTCTAAGGAATCAGCTCACAGACTGAGTTCTAACTTCATCCTTATGCCCATAGTTGAGCGATTCTCTTTCTCTCCACAGCTAATATCTCCGGGACACTTCTGGAGGATAAGGTGAGTTTTATTTCCCCACTGTTTTATCTCCACCATTACTTGCTGCCTCACACTCCCTCTCTGTTTCCACTTCTTTCTTCCATTCCAGGATGTCTCAGTTGTCTACGCTGAGGTGAAGGCACAACACCCAGATAACTCAGCTGGAAAGGTCTGCTCTAAGGACGAAGAATGTCATGAGAATGAAAAGTTAGGAGAATGTCCTACTTAAGTGATTTGTCCCTTATCCAAAGCCCCAGGTCCAGTGAAGTCCTCACAGCCCCTGGAATGATCAACTCATTCCAGCTTTCCAATTCTTCTCACCCATATGCATTCACTCCCAGGAGTACTCATTCATCTACTCTGAAGTTGGGATGGGATGGTCTCTGAAAGACTTCACTAAAATGGCTATGATCCACAGTTAAGAGAAGACTCTGTATCACTTGCTGTGGGCCTAACCTGATACATTCCCTAGAGTCTGCTTTAGAGATGAGGCATAGAGAGAAGGACTGGTTTGAAAAACAGAAGCACAAATTTTGGTGAACTAGGATTTGCACAGAGATGAAAAAGGCTGGGTGACCTGGATCTCTGCTTAATACATCTACAACAATTCTCTCACTGGAGACTCAATTGCATCCGTTTGTTTAACTGTGAGTGGCTACACAGGTACTGCAAAACCCCTTCACTTCTGCCCTCCCAGCTTACACTGTCAGGATTCACTTACAGATAAAAGAACCCACCTGAAATGGTTTACAGAGAGAGGAATTTAAAAGAGGACATCAGAAGAGCTGGAGATGCATGCTCTAGCCTGAGTTTCCAAAAGCAAACGATAATTATGTTAATATCATTGGGGCAAAGACTTGCAACATTAGAGAAAAGAGACATACATATAAAATTAAAAACTTAAGTGACAACTCTGCAAACCTAAATTTGAATTGAAAATATTAGTATTGGCCAGGCGCGGTGACTCAAGCCTGTAATCCCAGCACTTTGGGAGGCCGAGGCGGGTGGATCACGAGGTCAAGAGATCGAGACCATCCTGGTCAACATGGTGAAACCCCGTCTCTACCAAAAATACAAAAAATTAGCTGGGCATGGTGGCGCGTGCCTGTAATCCCAGCTACTCAGGAGGCTGAGGCAGGAGAATCGCCTGAACCCAGGAGGCGGAGGTTGCGGTCAGCCGAGATCGCGCCATTGCACTCCAGCCCGGGTAACAAGAGTGAAACTCTTGTCTCAAAAAAAAAAAAAAAAGAAAAAAAAAGAGAAAATATTAGTATAAACTCATAATGACCTCTGCCTTTAAAAAGAAAAAAAAAAAGATAAGTATTTCCTACATTTGTCCACTGAAAAGGCCTAGAAGTAACTACCAACCCGTTAGCAATAAGCACTCCTTGCAGAGGCTTTATTCTTTAAATACCATTCCCTACTGAAAGGAAATAAAGTTGCTTTTCTTGTGGGAACTGTGTCTTTGAGTTACTAATTAGTTCATGTGAGAATAATTCTTGCAATAAATGAAGAAAGAAGGAAAGAAATGGGAAATCACAATTTCATATGGATGGTTCATGATAACACCTACTGGTTGAATAATTGACAAAAACTAGCAGCCAAATGTTATAGGTCTCCTGATGGAAGTGTACAATACCACCTACAAAGTATCCATGCCCCCAATATTAAAACTGAATCCATTCCAGTCTTTCTAACTAAATACTTGTTTACAGAAAATGCATAGGGAAAAAGGAACTTGTTTAAATAACATCATGGGATTGCAACCAGCAAAACACAAACTGAGGAAAAGTTCTATAGGTCAAATGACCTGGCTTCTTGAACAAAAACATGGAAAAAAAAAAAAAAAAAAAGAAGAGAAGAAAGGGAGGAAAAAAGCGAGAGAAAAGAAAAGAAAAATGAAAATTAATTAGAATATTTCCAACATAAAGAAAAGACATAAAAATATTTAAGGTGATATTTAAAGTGATGGATATCACAATTACACTGATTTGATCTTTACAAATTATATGAATGTATGAATTTGTCACATGTATCACCCTAGAAAAAGAGAAAAAGAAAAGGAGAAGGCATATAAATTAAATGAGACTTGAGACATATCAACCAAAAGGAATGCATGGGTCTTGTTTGGATCCTGACTCAAATCAAGTTAAGAAAAAAATTACTCATGAAATACTAAGGAAAACTTGTACACTAATATTAAGACATTGTCATATGTTTTGGATGCGATAGTTTATTTTAGTGATGTTTTCATAAAAACAAAAGGATACTCATTTTTAGAGCTTATACTGAAGTATCAGATGAAAGGTTATTAGTGTAGATTCAGCGTACATTAAATTAGTAGATAAAATGATGTGATTTGGTTTGAAATAACCTGATGAGGTGAGGGTGGAGGGTGGGTAGGAAGTGGATAGGTATAGATGTAGCAGGATCAGCCATGTGTGCACCATTTCTGGAGCTGGGTGATGGGTATGTTATGGGAAGAAGAGGAGGTTTATACTATTCTTTACTTTTGGATGCTTTTAATTTTCCATATAAAGAGTTAAAATATCTACACCCAGAAGACCACCTCATTTTACCACCCCAGGCTTCTACCCTTGTCTGAGGTGCCGCTCACTTCTGTTACAGCGGTGGCTTCGTGTCTCCTTTCTTTGTCCCTTTCCTCCCTGCAGCCCGTTCTCAGCACTGCAGTCACTGTGCTGAAAACCTTGCAGTGCCTCCCATCTCTCTTACGGTGAAAGCCAGAGGCCCTAGGTGCCCACAAGTCTCCACCCGATCACCCCTACTGCCTCCAGTCTCCTGCCACTCTTCCCCTTAGCACTTCACTGAGGAAGCCCTGCCTTCTGCATTGCTTCTTACACACACCAGGTTAATGCCTGCTTGAGGCCTTTGCATGGGCTGCTCTCTGCTTAGAATGCTCTTCCAGATAACCACCAAGGCTTTAAGTCTCATGTAAATTTGGAAACTACTTCCCCCCATCTTCAGTACCTCCAGTCTCCGTTACCCAGATTTACTTTTTATTCTTAAGGGCAACAACCTTTGTTCTCTTTGTTCACTGACATACCCAGGTACCCAGAATTCTGCCTAGTACATAGTAGGTGTTTAATCGATATTTTTAAATGAATGAATCATCTATGTCAGTGGGGAAAATCATTGCTCTCTCCCTGATGGACGGTATCCAGTGAAAACAATCTACTACCACAGAGCACATGGGCCTCTGAGGATCTGATTTGGCCTCTATGTCTGTCAACTGGGCACTCAACAGTGGTCAGAGTGGCCTGGGTGAAATTATGTTACCGAATCCTTACATGACCTCTGAGCCTTCTACCAAGGCTGCTTCATTCATGAGCCCTTTGAACAATCGGTGGAGTAAGTGGAGAAAGAGGTTGCCTGACATTCAGCCAGAGCAGGTGATCACAGTCTCCTGATTACTGAGATCTTCCTCAGTAAGGCCTTGAGTGAGTATTCTCATAAAACACAAATATTCTCCTACTCTGGATCCATTCAATGACATCCAACAATATGATTCTTCCTGAATCTTCCAGTTTTATTCTTTCCAAATTCCTGACCATACAGCTCCAAACACTAGCCACTGCTCATGAATCAGAGCAGATCCTCACCTCTGGACATCTCATCTTCCAGGCAAAGTGGACCACTGGGAATACCCATTTTTGTCACAGTCCTCCAGGGATTCCCTAATGTGGCTGTGGTGCTGCAGTTGTCACCCTTAGCTGATATGAGGGCATATATAAAACTGGATAGTTTTTTTCCTCCTCTTTCAATTGGTCATAGGGAACTCACCACCAGGTCTTAGTTGCAGGTTCAGAGAGAGAGGTGAAAGGGCAGCAGGATATGAGCTATTCAGTGTTTATTCAACTTACCATTGCTTTCAGACCATTCTGGAGTGAGACCTCCTGCAAATCACTTCCACTTAATGATGGAATAATCCTCAATATGTCATGAATTTTTGCTTAGTGGATCAGACAGCTTTCAGTTCATGGGGAATAGCTCAGGTCTCTGGTGGGCCATGTTCAAGTGTTCAGTGAAAAAAAAAAGTTGATTGAAGAGAACATAGCTTCGCTCCAAAATCCTATAGTTCTCAACTGTGATTCTCCTGTAGAGCCTTACTGTAACCTTTACACAACACCCTGATCAGTCACAACACTTCTGGGCTCTTTGGATATGCTGGATCTTAAAAGCCAAGGTCAGTGCTGCTTGCACTGTAGCCTAGACAAGCTAAAGACCCCTTGATTGCTCAGGGGCCCACTCCAAGATGGTAGGTTCATGAGTTATTCAGTTATTAAATCAGAAAAGGCAACAAAATGAGATGTCTGTTGCTTCCAAGATCCAGAGGCCTATCAAATGTTGGGCTTCTTCCTTAAAAGTATAGAAGCAACAATTTAATTTACTATCCCAACGTGTCATAGACAATTGCACAATAAATCCCCAAAATAGGAAGAATTAGATTTAATAGAATTTTTTATAATTATTAATTTTAATGCACAAATCTGTATATTTTGCTGAGAATAGTAGGCCAAGGATAGAGGAACGTTAATTCCGTTTGAAGCTAAATAAATTGATGCAGATACACTTGGAAGAGACTCTCAACTCAATGGACTAGATCAGGCTGCTGGAAGTGATTCTAATTAGTTTCTCTCTTGGTGGATCAAAATCTGTAGGCAACAATGGCCTTGGAAAAATAAAGTTGAGATAATAACAATTCCTTGGTATAATGTAGAGGAAGAATTCAAAGATTTCTAGAGATGGGATTGCTGCAGTAGAGTCATCACACATCACATTCACATGTACCCTATATGTCTTAAAAGGGTATTTCCACAGAGCATTGAAAAATACCTCAGTGATGAAAGTACCAGCACCTTTGGAAAGTATAATAGAAACAGGTCAAGGACAAAGGTGAAGACATTGCATCAGAAGTAGACTCCCTGATTATGATGCAGTCTCAGAGTAGCAGAGACAAAAGAAGGCATGGCTACAATAATAAGAAAATGGTACTCACAAAACTACAATGGACAAGGACGTGGATCATGGGAACAAAACAGGTGAGCAGGCCATATGCATACAAGTGAAAGTAAACTGGAAGCCTGCTCAAAATCATCAAAGAGAATCATGTT